AATATCTTTTCTTACTTATGGAATGAAAATTACATCCAATTATTACTAAATTATTTTTATGTATGCATCAACTTTTCTTGCAAGAGGTTAACCGCCAAACTAATACATGAAATTCTTCTGATGGTACGTTTTGATGTACTTTTCATAAACTCTGCATTTGGATCCTTCTATATGTATAATTAAGGTGTTATGATCGAACACATATCATAATCAAACTAATAATAACTCTTTTCAATCAAAATTTTCTCGGGAACAAATTGGTGTTCATTAACGATTAATTCTTCATATATCTTAAGCGGTTAATGAAAACTCTTTACCGTTTGACTCCAACATCTGTGTTGTTGTTTCTATGTTGGATTTTATTATACTTAAACTGACACCTTATGACTAATTTGCTGATCGGCCAGGTCATCTATAACAAAGCTAGGATAAATCATATACAATTGGAGGAGATTAGATAGAAAAATGGTAGTGTAGTTTTCCAAGTTCATAGTTGGTGAATGGACCAGGAAGTTTTCTTTGGTGGTGTTTAGTGTACATTGGAGCCACTTGTACTGTTAAAGCCTCCAGATTTAAGGATTCTCAATATCAAGACTTTTGACAGGTAATATATGGTCAAAAAAAAATAGTGGAAGATAGACCGCACAATAGCCAAGTTTTTAAGCATCTAAATTAAATTAAATTAAATTATGCTAGTACTGTTTCTTGGCGACTTTGTGACAAATGTTGAAAGCTAAAGTTAGAGTGTGTGATGAGAAATCACCATGATTCTTACACAAAAATTAAAGTTGCAAAGTGGTGAGTTTTTTAGGGTCTTGAATTGGCAGCATTTTTCACATGACGCAGTATTTGGGAAGTGTTCTTGATATCTACTTGCACTCATGATGAACATCTCAAAAGTTATTTTGTCCTGCAAGATAATTATATTAATTCAGAGATTTTTTTTTTTAAAAAAAAAAAAGGTCCCCAATACATATAGAAGAACTTTTGGTTCGTAACCTTAATTAGAAGAGCTCAAGTATTTCAGAGGTGACATTGGAAACAAAATTTATAAGCTTGGATTCGATGCTCAACAAGGAAGGGAAATTAAATTTGATAACGATACGGTAATTAGTTTGTTTGATGATAATTAGGACAATACCTGGTAAATATGATGTTATTGATAAAAGAAAAGGTTTTAATTAATTATAGCAACGTTTAAAACTTTTTTTTTTATGTAGAAATTGATCTCTTAGCAACGTTTAAAACTTATTATAGAAAATGGCAATCCGATCAGCAAGAGAGCAATATTGAAGTTAAAAACACGTAAATAAGATGTTTACAGTTTAAAACTTCAAAGATGGGTTAATTTGTGAAATGATGAATTTGAAGAATTTCCATTGATATGAAACAGATGTAAATTAGGTAAAACTATTTTTTTACAAAATATCCAATTAGCGTAAGACTTCTGAGTAGTTTGTACATGCATCGATCAAACATACATCTAACAAATTATCTGAATTGAAGTTAGATATATAATTCACGATCAGTCACGTTATTTTTTTATTATAATTAATACTATAAATTTTATTTTATTTTTTTGTAGTTATTCCTCGTATGGTTGTCTCTCAGTCTCAGACATATTTCTTTGAGATGAACAAGGAACCATCGATATTGTAGCCCGTGAATCACTAGCAAATCTCTAAAGAATCGTTAAAAAAAATAAAAAAAAAAAATTTACGAGCAAAAAATTCATGCATTAAAAATTCGCTAATAGCACAAACTCACGTGAACATTCCTTTTAGTTTTGAATGCACAAAAAGAAAATGTCCATAAGGTTACAATTGTAACGTCGTGGACAAAGTTAATACAAATCGAAAAACAACATCATGGAACGGTCGAAATCACGTTGAAGAAGAACACATTTTTTCACTTGATATGGTTGATCCGTTTGGAAGCCTAATCTTTTTTTCTTTTCTTTTTTTTTTTTTTTTAACCGTTGGAAGCCTGATCAACAGTTTGAAAGATGATGCATTATTGATTGTGGCCAGCGAATTGGGCTTAGTGGTTTCTGCCTTTGGCATTCCGGGGACATTGAGAATCTCAATCTCACATTGGTGTTGGAAGGAAACAGATATTAGTATATAAGCTCCATAAATTATTTCCCTTATAGCTAATTGGTTTTGAAGTGGAACTTTGGGCTTTTGTATAGTATCAGAGTTAGCCCGCCGACATTCGAACTCCAAAAAAAAACCAACAAAAAAATAGGGTTAAGACGTGAGGTATTGTCTGGACTGAAAAAAAAATAGGACAAGCCCAACTCCAAAAAATATGTTGAGCTTGTGGGGGAGTATTGAAAATTCCAGTCCCATATTGGTGTTGGGAGAGACTGAATATTAATATAAAAGTACATAGGTTACTCCTCTCATTGTCAATTGGTTTTGAGGTAGAGTTCCATGGACTTCTGTATGGCGATGTGGGATTGGGATTCTTTAATATTAGTTTTCTAAGTGGTTAAGTTGCTATTAACGAAGTAGGTTGAGCATAAGCCCACAAATATTTTATTGAATTTATATTCTAACCCATGTTTTTTGAACTTTTGTGCAAAATGATTTTGTTTAAATAACTAAATATGATTAACGAATAAAGTATACCAGAACTTAAGTATAGTACACCCTTTCATTGATCACGGGTAAGTTTAACAATGAGAACAAGGAGAATCATACATTTATAAAAATTACAAGTGGACCCAAAAGCATGTGAAAAATAGTTTTCTGTCACGATTTAACATTCAAAATAACTTTCACCTAAGAGAAGTTATTTCCCCTAGGTTATTCTGGGAGTTAAATCGTGACAGAAAGTTATTTTTCATCTGCTTTTGGGTCCAGGGGCAATTTCATCAATTTATATATATTTTTTAAATATTAATATTTTAATTAATTTGTTTTACGATTCTTTTTCTTTTGCTTCCTTACTTGTATATGTTAGTACTAGTATCATTATTAAATTTCAAAAGTTAATTTTTTATTTGTATTTTAACTTCTAGTTTATAAAAAAAAATAAAGAAGAGAAATCCAAATTGAAGTAAACGTGAAAATTAATAATTAAATGACTATATCGAGATGAAAATAATTAAATAACCTAGAAGAAACAACTTGTCTTAGCTATTTCTTATAGTTTTTCTTTTAGTTTAAAATGGTAAACTATTAATTTTCATTTTTACTTTAACTCGAATTTTTCTTCTTCATTTGTTAATTTTTTAAAAAAATTTTATAATCTAGAAGTTAAAATACAAAAGTAAAATAAATTTTTGAAATTTAGAATTATACTATTAGTATATACAAGTTAGGAAATATAAGAAAAAGAATTATTAAAAAAATAAATTTTGTTCAAAAAAATAAATATTTAAAAAAAAACAAAATGACAAAAATACCCTTGAACCCAAAAGCATGTGAAAAATGGATTTCCGTCACTATTTAACGGCCAAAATTAATAGAATGATCTTGGATGAATTTTTTGCTTAGTAAGGTAACCTGTTATACAAATAAATTTGATTGATGACATGTATTAAAATTACCTAATAGTTCAATAACTCATTTTGAGGTTCCTCTAATTATTATTCATATCATTTTTCCCAAAATTAAACTCGATATAAAAAGAATCTTCTTCACCACTGGTTCTTTTTTTCTTGTTTTGTTTTCCTTTTTTCAAATAAAAATATAAAATACACAATTGTGTTTCATGCTTAAAGCCTATATCGTCCTCAATGTAGATCAACATGCAAAATGTACGTTTGAACGGGGTGATTAGCAAAACATTCGGTTCATCTGGTTTTTAGTCTACAGTGTATTTTATTGAACTAAAACATAAAATAAACTGTCCTATTAATAACATGGAAACAATTAATAGTAATACGTGCTCAAAGTCATGGGCGTGACAAATAGAAATCAAGATTAGTGAAGCATTCACATCTTGCTAGCTACAATGATTGCGTGATTTGTGCTTGACAAATGTATACTTCATCTATCTTCAAATTTGAGTTAAAAATGAAACTTTAAAATGGACAAATTTTAGAATAAGAGAATATAATTTAACTCAACGGTGAAAAAATCGAAAAATGTAACATAACTCTCACTTTTTTCCCGTTAAGTTTACTAGAATACCTAAAAGTAGTCTAATAAATCCAATATCGAAAATCTATAAATGATGACTGCAACTAATTCCCGAAGCAGGGGAATGAGATTATTCAGCTGTTCAACCGAGTCAGCTAATAGCCTAATACAGCATGATACATTTGCTCTTCTTCTTCTTCTTTTTTTTAAATTTTTTTTTATCTATTTTAGAGATAATAGTATCTTTTACCAATAACAATAATAACTTGTCTCTCCATTGATTTGTTTGTCCACAAACGAAACCTATAACACCATACATTGCAAGTATATATATATAGTCCATAGACTAGAAGTTATATATGACTTCTTGTCACGATGATTGAATCCACCCATGTTCAAGATAATTTGTTTTCTTAAGGCAAAAAGTTGAGGTAATTTCAGAAATGACATATGGTTCATTCAAAATGGTCCCACCATATCCAAAAAAAAAAAAGAGGAAAAAACTATAGTAACAATAATCATGACCATACTAATTACGCTAATCATTGTACTACAAAAATTTTAAAAAGAAGAAAAAAAAAAACTTAACGTATATAAGAGAACTACAAAATTATCCATTGGAACCAAACTTTGAACATTAACTGAGTTCAAAGGCCAAAGGGGGCAATGTGGCATCATCGTGTCGATCCAATAGCTTCCCTTAGTGCTTTGCTACGGTGCTACTTTTGTTCATGATCATCACTAACGTGTACAACCTAATATATCTATCACACTTTTTTCCTGATTTTTTTTTTTTATTTCCCTTTGAGAGGAAATAATTAACCCCCAAGCTAGGTGTATAAATATCCAAACCATTCGTGCATTTATGAATGTTTAAAATTAAGGACTGATCTAATTTTATTTTTTTTTAACCACCATTTTCATACATTTCTAACTATTTAGAGTTTCCTCAAGCTATGGCGCTCTTCGGTATCCATAATCCATGGGTCATGGCACTCGGCATTTTAGGTAAAATGAGAAGTCTATATTTCATTCAATGTAACACTATTATGTTTTAGGTTGCAAGGATCAAAATCTATCTTAGACCGTTCTTGCTCAGAGACTATGATAATCTTCATTACATCGTTGTAATTTTGTTTTATGTTGATTTCTTGAAAATCATGGCATACATAATCACTGTTTTTTTTATGACCATTTTTATAGGTAATATCATCTCCCTCATAGTGTATCTTGCTCCAGCGTAAGAACTTCGAACTTTGATCTTTATTCTTTCTTTCTTTTTTTTATTTCTTTTCTTTTCATTGCAAAGCTATATAGATCATACAAATCACTAATTTTTTTTACTATAAATTAAAACGTGGTTAAATTTTTGCAGGCCAACATTTTATAGGATTATTCGGAAAAAATCTACTGAAGGGTTTCATTCATTCCCATACGTGGTTTCCTTGTTGAGTTGCATGCTTTGGATTGACTATGCAATAATTCGATCAGATGTTCTTCTTATCACAATCAACTCTATTGGATGCCTCATCGAGACTGTATATATTCTCCTGTTCATTGTCCATGCAACCAGAGAAACAAAGGTACGTGTTAGATATACTCTATCCGTTCTGAAATGATTATTATAAGATTTTTAAATAATTTATTACGATATGTATATGTGATGGTGAATGAATTGAAACATTTGGCTCCGCAGATATGCACTTTGAAGCTTGTAATTCTATTGAACGTCATTACCTTCGGGTTGATTTGCGTCCTCACTGAATTTCTAACAAAGGGTCCCCAAAAAATTCGAATTCTTGGATGGATTAATGTTTCTTTAGCCGCAGCAGTATTTGTAGCACCGCTAAGCATCATGGTAAGGAAGCTAAAACTTTCTTTTCTGCCTGATTCTTATCTTTCCTTCTCTAGGGTTCCGAATTCAATCGTGTGAATCTTTTGTATTTTATGCATGTCATATAAATAAAAGAATAACAATTACTTTTACAAATTTATAAGGGTCTTATCAAAAAACAAAAAAAAAAAAAAAAAAAACCATAGAATTTTTCGTATTTTTATATAGTGATATGAAAAACGAACAAGATGGTAATGGAAAATGAAATATATTCTTGTTAATTTGTTAGAAAATTTTTAGATGAACTAATCCCCCCAATTATAATAAATTACATAAAGTGTCGGTAGCATGTGTTTTATGCATGGGACGTACATCTTTTCTATTCTTCTGACACTGATCTTCTTTTTATATTTTGGTGGAAAAATGCAGAAAAAGGTTATAAACACAAGAAGTGTGGAGTTTATGCCCTTCTGGTTATCATTCTCTCTGGTATTGAGTGCTGTTACTTGGTTCACTTACGGCTTATTACTGAAAGACATGTACATCACGGTAATCAAATTACTTTTTTTCGAATTTATCACCGTAAAAATTAATTAAAAAATTAATTTTCCTACTGTGACTAAACGTCTACAATAAATAAATTTTTTGACATTCAGGTTCCAAACATAGTGGGCTTTCTGTTTGGGATGGTCCAAGTAGCCCTCTACGTGAAATACAAGAAGTTCAAAATGGAGGCAAAAGAGCCACAGCCCAGTGTTAATTCGTGTGAAATATATCCAGTTCGCTCTTCATCATCCATTAATGAGGAAGATCTTGTGGTGGTGGAAATAACCGAACAAAAAAGCACAGAACGACTCGGGGTTTAATTGAAGCTTGAAGCTCCTCGCAAAGAGATTATTTTAGTTTAATAAGATAGGTTTTTAATATGGATTTTTCTAATGTGATTTTCTGCCCTTGATGTACTACTACTACTACTACTATTTCTATTGTATCTGTACTCTATTGCGTTGGCGATAAGCGCAATAAGGAGGGAGAGATAAAGGTAGTAGAAAGAGGAGAGGATGTATTTCTGTAACTGGTGTTTGATGTTTCAACCTAGTGCTTAAGACAAGATTTCTCACTGGCATTAGTTTTTCTTAACTGATGGTTGAATTATAAAAAAAAAAAAAAAGATTAAATCAATTCATGTACGACAAAATTTGTGTGACCACAGGGTCAAACAAGAATACAAATATATTCCTCTACCCAAAAAAAATGTTACAAAAATACAATGTAAACCCTTAACCCTCAAAAAGTTAACCTTACAGAGGAAACGCAAAGTTCATAAGTACTTAAAAGAGTAACACTATTGTGAAAGATTTCTCATCAGTATATATTAATTAATATATAACTTTAAAGAGAGAAAATAAAAATAAAAAGTAAATCTACCCTGCTCCTTAGATTGTCAAAGAAACATGCTCACCTCCCAGAACCCACATCTAAAAAGGATTCTGACTCCTTTCCCTTAAGCTTTAAAGAACTAGGTGTGTGATCTCTGATTTGTGAATCGACTAAGAAAAGGGAAGCACTAGAATCAACGGAAGTGTAACCATATGGGAGGGAGAATGGAGATGTCTCTTGCACGGTGACCCGGGGATGGTTTTACAAAGAATGCATACAACACATGAACAGAGTTCCTAAACCTTCTTTCGCTTGGCTTAAGAGGATTGGACGGCCAGCCGCTGAAGGTGTTCAATAAACACTTGAAGACTCACATCATCGGTGAAGATTATGTCTGATCCAGCTGCCATCTCGTGCGCATTACTGTATGTGGCTGATGGATTCAACTTTGCCAGTAAAAACCTTGCCTGTTCAAAAGTAAGCAAGGGCAATATCAGTTGTCATTGCTCAAAGTTGGAAGAATACAGATGGAAATTTTCACAAACAAGCAATTCTACCTTAAAACAATTCATGGCAAAACCATAACAGATCATTTATTTCCTTTCTTTCCAATCAGAAAACATGCTAAAAACATGCTAAACTAAAAATATATCAAGGAAACACAGTATATACGAAAGAAAAGAGCATCAAGGGACTCCATCAAAGAAGCCTCATCTTCCTAACCTAAAGCTACGGTGAAGCTTCTGAACTCATCTTTCTAATCAGGTAGCCTTGTTTCTTTATCACTAGTTAATGTATAGAACACAACATATTACATGGAAAACAAATAAAAGACAAGTGTCAAAAAGATTCAATTTGCATTCTCAAGTGGCTATGTATCAAGGCATTCTTAATAAGCTAGTAAAACATTTAGACAGACAGGTATTAAGTGGAAAGCTTTAAAGTAAATCAACTTTCTCTGGGCCTTTGCTGTTAAAATGGAGTATATTACGCAAATCACATAGTGCAGCAGGTAATGGCATGATTTATGACATTCTTAATCAGACTATGCTCGGTATATATCCTCAATAACCAATTCATGCATTTTAGTTCCATGCATATGAACATATTTCTAGCTTCACAAAAACCAATCGGCTCACAGGCAACCTAATACATACATATTATCATGGAATTCTTCACCATTGTGACATGCAAGCAAAAACACCAGAGCACTTGGATCAGAGACACAGAACCAAAGCAAATCTCAGTACAACAAAACGGTATTGATGTCCAACTAAAGCACATATTAGACAAGTTTATGCGAACATAATTTTTTAACAAAAATAAGATAGGATGGAAAATGACCTGTGAACCATGCTGATCACAGACCACCAGCCTCGGAATAGGGAACCGCTCACGAATAATTTGTTGGGCATCATCTTGAGGAGCTTGCAAAAGTTGTGCAAATACCTACGGGAACGGGAAGAGAAGTGAGCAATCAAATAAAGATATCCCTGTCAACCAAAGAACTATATAATCCCCTAAGTGGGGTACTATCTCCAATCACATGATTCATCTCCCAGTATCAGGATGAAAAGAAGGCCTGAGTGATCAAATTATCAACATAAATGATGGAAGCGCCCATCATTTACATCATATTTTACAGTACAAGATACTATAACCATAGACAAGGTTTCAAGCCAGAATAAAATTGAAATGTTCATCGTATTTCCAACAAATATTGACCAGGCTCCAGGGAGAATAACAAATAAAAATTATACTAAGAAAAATGGTAGGAGAAGGAAAGTTGTGAGCACACACCGCATGTTCAGGCTGATTCTGATATTCCATCTTCCTCCATTGTGCGATTGTCATCCCGTGGAAAATGACAACACTGAAGTATGAATCTAACAACAAAATCCTGTCAGCGGCAATGGATGCCACATCTAGTAAAGCTGGTACAGGAGCAAGTGAATTGAAAGAATATGTCATCAATGATGGTTGAATCATGACAACAGAGTTGCTAATGCTCTCTCTGTTCAGCAATATACGGAAATATGCTGTCTCATCCGGACTATTATTAAAAACCTGTGTGAGGAAATAAACAAGTGAGTTATAGAAGTGGAGAGGATCGCAATCATTTAAACAGGATCAAAATGTCAAGTTATAAAGTTAGACATAGTTTACAAGAGTTTCCCTTACCTGCACAAATTGTGATCGTCGTAGATTAAACATGAACTGAGGAAATAACGAAAAGAACGGATTCAAAGTGAATGAGGATGGGTCATCTTTCCGATAGTCACCAAACTTAGCACAAAGCCGAATCAGGCTCCGATCCAACCAACGTGTAGGATCAAAATTTTCCTATTATTACACAGAACGGCCGAGTGAAACCAGCAAAAAAAAAAAGAAAAAGAAAAAGAAAAAAGCATGTGATAGAGGGAAGTAAAGAAAGATGAAAAACATTAACAGAAAAGCAATGAGATATATTGCCACAAGGATAGAAGCAGCCAGAGAATTATGCAATATTCACAGCAAAGATTATGCTTTTTCTGTTTTCTGGACTAATACCCAACATGTTCAAAAAACTAAGAACATCGCAGTGGAATCAGAAAGGAAAAAGCTTGTCCAATAGAAGACCCAAATCACCCAGACCAGATTCATGCAATTATCTGAGTAAAAAGAAGGGCAAAGTATACAAACTAGTGACAACACAGAACACTAACAGATATCCATCCTTAAAAAATTAGTACGCAAGCAGCAAACCATGCCAATGGAATGTGGAAAAAGTCTGTTCAAATGGTAGCGAATAATTCACAAAAGAAAAAGAAGTACCTCACTCTCCATCTTATAAGAAGCAAATCTAGCAACGACTACAGCAGCGGTTTCTTGATCAAATCCTTGGACCAAGTCCTGCACACACAAATATAACAGAAGTTTGAATGGTCAATTAACTGCCCAGACTAAGAAGTTCCCAATCAAACAAGCATATCATGCTCCCAGAGAAGATATAACCAACCCAAAATGTAAATTGAATAAGACAAAAGAACTACAGGAGCAACCAAAGATAAGATTTTTACCTAGAAAACGAAACAAAAACTAGAATATAAATTTCAAAGTTATCAGCCATCAACATCAAATAGGGAAAATCAAGACAATTAATTAAGAGAAGCACAAAACACAGCAACAAGTCAACTTCAAGAAGGAGACAGGTATCAAGTCGATGCAAAAGGTGATATTGAAAAGTTAGTCACATTCACAGCCTTAAGTACATGTAAGTGTAGGGCAGGGTCTGTCAGCGAAGTCAATTGAAGGGAAGCTAAAGAAAAGTGAAGTAGCTTTTCTTCCGCATGAATGTTATTTATGGAGAGATGAAAATTGATTTTTTATTTCCATGTGAGAGTAGTTATGCATAAAACTCAGTCTTAAACACAAGTAGTCCACTATTAAGACCTATAGATGCTTTTCTTCGAATGTTTTCTCACCACAAAATAATATCTTTAACCATACCTTGTCCAGCAGCACCCTTTGAGTTATGCAATATATATCAAAAATGGAAATGGAAGTGTACGTAATTTTGAAACTATCGACTACATCAAAAATACAAGAAAGATAAACCTTACTATTGCGCATTTCACCAAACTATTCTCACAAAATTGCCAGCCACATAAACTAAAAATCACATGGGCCCTGCCCTGCTAGCAACAAAGCTTTTGTTCAAAACTACATTTGCAAACAAGTCATCTAGGAACAATTTTCAAGGGTTCATCTCCATAACGAATAACTTTCCTTCAGAATAGGCAGCTATATAAAGTAAATAAGGGCTTCATGACAAGAAACATGCAAAAAACTAAACTTGACACATTCATACCTCTGCACCATGAGCACTATCGGCCCACTTTCTCGTAATTGTTGTGACTCTCAACAGTGACTGACCCTCAGGGCTCTGGTAGCTGCATCCAAAATATCGATAGGAAATCAGTTGCAAAGTTTTTGGCTTATCCTTCTCCCAAACTAAGATGTAACACTAAAATCCAATTTTAAAACCTTCTACAATTACTTAGCCTAAGTTAATGCTTTGAAGCGTGAGAAGACAGAAGTAAAATCCCACCTCAACAAGGAGAGAGAGAGAGAGAGAGAGACCAACTTATAAAAGAAAGATGAAAGACAGAAAAAGCAGCAGATGTACCTAGTAAGAAACTGCAAGAATAAATGTGGATTTACTCCTGAAGGATCTGATTTCTCACTTGCAGATATATCAAAGAAGATAGTCAAACAAGTAGTTTTATCAATTCCACACAACTTCCAAGCAGTAGTATTTCCTTCTCCTATGACTGTGCTAGCAACGGCCGGCCCTTTCTGCATGAATACATGTTATGAGTTAAAAAAGGCTTAAGAAATGTAATACTCTTAAACAAAATAGGGCTCTCCTTCCCTCGAAGCATGTTTCAGCAGTTTACCCACCTTCTCCAAAGATGTGCAAGGTCCAATAGCGCCTTGAACTTTGATGTCCTTAGAGCAGATTACCTCCAGTGTGCCACTGAAAAGTAGACCGTTGCATTAGTTTACACATCAATGTTTAAGGAATTGACCAGTACAGCACACCTTAGGCAGAAAAAAGACAAAGCAACTAGTAGCTTTAAGTGCCATCCGTTCAATGTTATTCTATCCACAATGAGCACACAATGAGAAACAGAAAAACCAAACACTCTTACTCCCTTAACTTTGGATTGGAGGAGGGAACCTCTACTCGAACAAAGGCTAATATGGACAAGGAGAGAAGATAGAAAACACAAAAAACGACTAGTTACTTGTGTAGGCCAAAACTTCTTATTATCTCGTCATTGTTGCATAGGAACATATTCTAACAGTCATCCATAAATCATTTTAGAATCAACTTTGTGATTCTTCAAACGCAGCCTACTTCAACGATTTAACAATTCAAGAACATCTTCAAGCATACTCTGTGAAATAAACTTACACGACACATGTTCTAAGATTGCACTATATCACATGCAGCAATAAATGAGGGCGTATGAGAAGCAACTTCAAAAAGTGAAGTTAATGAACTTACTTGTAGGAGAGACCAAGAGACTGTTCCCCGACTTCCAGAAAACGTTTAAAGGAGTCTTTAAATACTGAATGGCCAAAGCTCTCAGCTAAAACAACAAGGCCACCAGTTTTTTCAATGGCAACCTTCATCTCAGCAACTCCAACCTGGAAACATACTTTCAATTAGCTAGATTGTGCATGATCAGTTCACATATGCACCAAAAAGAAATAACGGCAGAAAGAAGACTACAAGACGTCCTAATAACTTAGAAGGCACTGCTACAAACTTCATATCATTCACCACTTTCAACAGAAACAGACAAAAAGACTCGAAGGAAACCAGTTCAATATATAAGTTGCACCATCTCAAATAAAAATCTATGAATGAGAAATTAAGAAAGAAAAGGAAAGGAAAAGAAAGATAATCTCAAAACAATAAGAGGAAAGCAAGAAAGAAACAGACTCCCAAAACATAACATCCAAAAGTGGGTATATAGTGAAGTATATGTATCCCACGAGACTAAATACAACCACAATCAAGGTTGTAACTTCAAACAATAAAAATTCCGTTACAGACGAACTGCTTGAAATTAACCAACTAGATGAACATAACTAGCTCGGTAAATGTGCAAACCTGATCAAGAGCAGAAGCAAAAACATCTAAAACATGACCCTGGCTCACTAGCTGCTTGGCTAATTCTTCATAAAAGGAAATAGCTTTCTTGAAATATGGGGCAGCATCCTTATCAAGGTCTTTGTGTGATCGAACAGGATCTGACAGTTCTTTAGAAACAATCTGGATATAAAAGAAATCAAATACAGTATCAATAGAAACAGAAGTCAATTGTTTATGCAAGGGAAATCCTATCAGATACAGAAAATTCAACGAGTCAATGTGGTACTAAGAAATTAACAATATTTTTCTTAATGTTATGCATCCTTTTTGCAAAACTTATATGACGTATTTGATGGCGTCTACATCAATTTGATCGCGTCTACATAAGCTCAACTTCCTTAAATTCATCCCATAAGGATGTCAGAATTGACAATGTTGACTAGCAAGCAAACAGATTTATGCAAAACTATTCAAAGCATTGTCACAGCAAGAATCAGAAATTGAATACAAAGGAAGAATCTTTACCGCTCCTGGCCCTTCTGTGCATGGTCCTCCAACTAAAGCAACTATTCTAGCATTGGTACCGGCTGAACAAGCGCCAAGCAAACTAGCTGCTACACTTAGCGCAACTCCAGTGCACCGCGAGGCCCTTTTTCCTGGTGGCACTAGGAATCTATCCGTAGTGAGCTCATCCAATAACTTGAGACAAACGAAAATGCAAGCTAATCAGATAATCATCTAACTTCATCTGTAATCACACAAAAAACTCAAATTCAATAAATTATACCCACCGTGTCTAGGGTATATTCACACTCAGAAGCAGGCAACAAAAACCTAGAAATCCCTGATTCAGGAATCCCTACAGGGCTAGCACCAGTTCTACGAATTCCACGGCGGCTGCCTCCAGAAGAAATGCCCAACTGCTCCAAAACCTGATCTTTTGACAACTCCTTAAACCCTCTAAAAACGTAAACCTTGGGCAATTCGGAAAATCCAAGCTCGTGAACGGTAACCTGCGTCCCGTAGGATATGAAGCCCACCATAGCATTATCCGGCAACACCCCGATAGCCCTTTTCACAGCCGATTTTGCGAATTCCAATTCCTCCTCAAGCATACATGTGTCCAAGACAAACAAATAAATAGTAGAATTATTCTCGGAGCCATCGAAGAATCCAGGGTTTTGATTAGGGTTTTGCTGAGGAACGCTGGGGAGGGTGTACTGAATGGTACTGTATTGAGGGTAAAGCTCCGCCGGGAAATTGGTCTCCGAAATCGACGAATAATGCTGGGGGAAGTGATTCCTTTGGTAACAGATTGGGCAGATCCAAATTAGGGCGGCGAAATCCAACCGGCAAAAGGGGTTGAGGACGGCGGTGCACTGTTTGCACCGGAGAGGCGGGTACGGCACCGAGAAAATCTCGGGATGTGGCCGGATCGGAGAGACGGATGCGGCCAGTGGGATCACGCACTTGCTCAATTCGACTTTGGTCCGGGGCCAATTGTTCCATGTCATCCGTACTCCGTCAATTCCTTCTGGATCCATAGGGGGCATCTCCGTCTCCATTGTTTCTTTCAAACGATCAACGATGATGCGGAGAAATCAGAAACCAAAACCACACAAAATTCACAGAAACTCTGACTCTTGAGCTAAATGGGATTGGATCAGCAGGGAAGAAAACGAACAAAAAGAGTCAAATTGGATCAGAGGAATTGAGGGATTTAGAGGAGGAGGAGGAGGAAGTGGAGGAGAAGAGAAGAATTACTTAAATTAGTAGCACTGTGTGAAACGCTGTAATAAATAAATTGGTCTTATAATGTTTTTTATGAAATAGAAAAACGAAAAAACCCGATATATTTATAGTATTTTTCTTTCGCCTTATAGTTTTGGTGCAATTAGTAAATCTTTGGTTAATTTCCAATTTCAGATCCCAACAAGCAATTCAACGTTAAATTTGAGCTCAAGACATATTACACCAAAAAGTTACAGTACATCCTAATAATAACTAAATATAAAAGATTTTTGTTATAAGCGTAATCTTTGAATTTATTTACAAAATTTCATGAATTTAGACTTTCCAATTCATGGTATTTTTTTTTCTTTTCATACAAAACTTCTTATTTCTTTTTTTGGTACAAAAAATTTTATTTCTATTACCATAAGAAAAATCACTATTTAATAATTAACAAACATTAACAAAATATAACTCTTATAGAAGTGTATATGAAAAGAAAAACTAAAATATAGTAAAATGATTAATTCTATACATCAAGAGTTAGGAAAGAAAAATTAGAAAGTATGTTGATTTTGTACTGAGCAAAAAAAAACGGAAAGAAAGTACAGTAGAACTTCTATAAATTATTAGTGATGTGACTACCAAAATTTATTAATTTAGCGAATTATTAAATAATCGATTATTTAATAAATTATTAATGTAAAGAATTTCTATGAGAAAAAAGAACCATTACTAAATTTATTAATTTACAATTATCTTTATATCCAAATCAATAAAGTATTTAAATACTTTTGAATACTAAAAATCCACACATAGTTCATATCATCTCTGGACTGAAAAATTAGTACCAACAGTTCATATTTTACTCAATATTTATAGTTATAATTTTTTTGGTTTTTTGCTCATTTATTAATTTATAGTATTGTCGGGACCTATAGATACATAGAAGATTTTCTAAAACATTATTATCTTATTATTTTATCGATTTTTTTGCTTTTTGTACTGGTCCCAAGTTGGGATCGGAAAAAATTATTAATTGCTAGAAGTTATTAATTTTTTTTGGTAGGAAGTTATTAATTTTTATATTATTAATTTACCGACGTTCTACTGTATGTTCATTCAAGCAAACATGGCTCTATTCATTGCCTAGGCTTTTAAATTTTGGAGATGTTTGCCCACAAAATTTTCTAAGTGTACTTTAAACACATGATCCTAGAACTATGATAAATTATAAAAGAGTTGTTAAGTTGTCTAAAACTAATAAATGAAAAATAACATTTTCATGAACATGAAATTTTGTGATAAACCATTATCATTATATATAGATTTATAACTGTAAGTTGATATAACTAGGGAATTTATAGTTTGTGAAGATAAATTTTGACAAGGGACTAAATGAGTGTAATTCTTAGGTAATAGTTACAATAGTCACAATTCTAAAATTTATTTTTCTTTTTAGGTTTTGTATAATTTGGTATGGTCTCGCTAGCGTGGCTAATTTTGTTTTCATAGTCTACCGCTCTAGCTCAACTTAGTTTGTAAGGAGTGTTATAGATAGTTCAGGAAATTGAATAACATTAGAATGTTGTGATTTATGATGCTAGATCCGGATTTAATTTTTATTAAAGGGAGTTTTTACTCACATTTAAGTGAGATCTACTGAAATGGATTTTTTTTAATATATAAAACTAGTCCGCTTGAATGCGCTTCGCATGTACGTGATGGTAATAACTAGTTATACAATTGAATTGGTTGTACATTACATCATAATCACTTGAGTATTGATATTTGTTTTATTTTAAAATGATCAAAAATACAAATTTCATTCGTCTATAAAGCTCATCTACCTATATTATCATTGCATAATATTTTTAAGGTTTTGGTAGTTCTCTACTTGTGTGATTCCAATTTAACTAAAAGATATCATTTAAATTCTACTTTATTGTTACAACCTTTCACCTCCTTCATTTACCTATACTTTAATTACGATTGAAATTAAAATTTATTATTATAGTCTTTACACATTCACTCGTCTCTTGATGTTCTGACAACTGTTATAATTGGTTGATTTATTGTTAAAGTATATAAAACACTTCACATTCTCTAGCAACAATATGTTTTAATTTTGTTTAAACAATCCCATGGAGATCAAGCAGCAGCAAATTCTACAAAAGAACACCAAATAGTATCTACTTTAAGTATCAATGGTGATTAAATAGTAACAAATTCTCATAAACAATCAATAGTTCTTAAATTGCGAAAAATCTCGTATTTGAATTGGTAAATTGTTCATCAATTCCTTTCAAAGTATAAAAGTTTTGAAGGTTTCTCGCTCAACATACGTCCTTGAAGTTGAATTATTTTATCCGTTGAAAAGTTGAGTTACTTAATTTGTAAGGAGTTTTTTTTTTTTTAGAAATCTTTTATGATTGTTTTCCATTAGAGCCTACTTAAATGTGGGTAACCCCATTACATACCCCTTTTTCGGAATTGAACTCATATCTAATACCAAAAAACACAATATACTAATCACTAGGTTGTCATTCAATTCCCTATCTTTTATGATTTCACTTAGCTCCAAAAGATCATATGCAACGTGAAATTACATTTGTATTACCTTTTGTTTTAAGAATAAGAACTTTGCCCATTTAAAAATGGAATTGCATTAGGGTTTTTTATTATCTTTTTTAATTTATGATAAAAAGGGGACATATTTTGTCGATTGATGACCCATTACCTATAGAGGACGTTTTATGAGGTTGCAAACATTCAAGTGAGATGGGACAATATTCAACAGAGTATTTAGGTGACAGCAGATGGGACAAATTTTGTCTGTAATTGTTATCTGCTACTTTATGTTGAGAATAAATATTAAAGGATCTATTTAATAAATGTCAATAAACTTGTACTAGTTTCTTAACCCGCGCGGGACATTTATATTCATTAAGATATTGTTTTAAATTATCATATCTAAAATCTCTGAAAAATTGATACATACATGATAATAAAATTTTCATATGTACATATTTTAATATATTTAAAACATATGGAAAATTGATGCATATTTTAATAAATTGATACATGATATTTAAAACCTATGAAAAAATTGATAGAAGTCACTTATAAATAAATTGAAAAACACATCCCACAAAAGAGTTTTTTTTCCCTTCCAAGATATAATAGGAGGAGTAAAATGCAATGCCATATTCGTGAAAATTTTGTTCTATCGCTAAAATTAATGATGCCTTCATCATAGACAAAATCAGCCAGAAAAACACAAACAAATTTTTTTAAAAAAGAACACATTCATGACTTCATCATACATGACTTCCTCATTCATGATACGTGTAGATTCTTGAAAGAAAATCCCAAAATCTCAGTTTCATCCTCTATAAGATGTAGAATTTTACTTTCCTACAAAATACAAAAAAAAAAAAAATTATACATATGCCATGGATGATAATAAGTGAATTAATGCATTGGAACTATGTAATGCACAACACTAACAAATCAACAAACTCTAGCACAAATATTTTAAGTTATTAATCTCTCCTGCAAATAATCCTTGTTCATTTTAGTGTCATGTTCTAGTAAGTCGCTACATACAGATCCTAGTGGTCCTAAAACTTACATTAACAATAAAAAAACTAAAATTGACGTAAAATACAAAAATAATAGTTCATTGATGAAAACTATTCAAAACTATGATGGATTTTAAGTTTATCACTACATATAAAGTTACTTTGCTATCCTGTTAAATTTCGATGCTTGAAACAAAGAAATGAGGGAGTTCTCCATGCATTTTCATCTGAATGAATCAACACAAAGGATTAATATAAAAAGGAAATTTTCTGAGGATGAGTAGCAAAAGGATTTTTCAATTTTATATAATTAGGCGAAACATGGAAAAGGAATCTGAAGTATGAAAACTCAACCATCGCAAAACATTATTAAGTTATGAAGGTCGTATGTAATGGAAAAGGAAAACATGTTTTTATTTTAGTGTCCACTAATAAGATGCCAATTTTCAACTCCAACCCGACCATGCATAACACATAGACATTGACTTATTACACTCCCCAATGCAATCAGATAATTTACCTTTCATGTAACTTTTGTCCTTAATGTTAGTTGCCCTAATGAATAAGACTATAGTTGTAAAAGTTTTCTATCAGATGGAAGACCAAAGCAAAGTTTTGATTCATAAAAGCTCCTTTGCATGTGCAACATGTTCAGAATTCGACTAGTCTATATATTTTCACCATTGACCACTATCAAAGAATTTCCACTTAAAAAAACGAGCCTATATGTGCATTAGAGTTATGTTAACATTTTCAATGTAGTATGTGACTCACTGATTACACTAAGTGCATAAGTAAGATTATTCCAAATCTAATACTATAATCATAATGTGTTTTAGAAAGATTAAGTTTCATGATTTTATTATAACCGATTAGATTTATGTTATTCTTAAAGGCTATTTGAATACTAGCTGGTATTCTATCATTAGTTATTATAACTCATTAGTAATTAGAAATTCATACTTGGTAGTAAAAGATGTTTCTTGATAACTGGAACAGACAATAATCACTGTCTCCAATATATAAAGAAAAAGAAAGCTGAATTTGTTGAACTATCTTCAGTACATAAGGAGGTGAAATGACCAAAGGGCCCTGGCCTGTATCGCCTGTAACCTTATGTTGTAATAGTTAGATTAATATTTCTTTAACATTATGTAAAATACAATGGGTAAATATAGATATATTAATTCATGATACATATTTTTTAATGAGAAAATGTTGACGTTGTCGGTGTTGTGTTTGTGAAAACACAATGTTGTTATGGATCCATGTACCAGATCTCTTGCGAGAGAATTGGTGCTTTTTGACAACATGAGTAATGGGAGATAAATCTCAACACTAAAATTACGAAAAACGAAAACCCAAGCTTCTTCTAGTACTACTCTTAGATTGTCAGGTTTAAAGGGTAATAACAAGCTGTTTTGTGGTTCCGAGCATCAAAATTTGTGTATACCATTCTAAGTATTGGTGCACTATATACGTTACTCTTAAGTGAGCAGGTTGAGGGGAATCTCTTACTGGAATTATTCATGCGTGTTTCATTACTGTATAATAATAAACTTGAATAACTTTCACCTATTTGATCATAGAGGTAATGACGCTTCTAGCAAAAGTTTGAGATTATCCTTTGTAAATGATCAGAAATCTAGGATGATCACATGGCCAATAATAATGCTAAATCACAATGTGAATTATAAGGAATGTTGTGAGTGTTTGCGTGTTTAATATTAAGTTTATACTGGATTGTGTATTGGTTTAAGCAACGAGCCACCGATAACTTAGTTAGTTAGGTGACTTAATTTCACTACGATGTGGTTTAAAACAAAAATTACCACCTCTTAAGCACGATTCTCATGATTGTGTGATTATTTTACATTAACTAAGTAGGGGAATATTTTTAGCTTGAATTATAAAATAATTAAATTATAATTTTAAGGATAATAATTATGTTGGTAACCCTTCACATAGGGTGGTGGTTACTGTTTATCAAGCAAGGGCTATATACTTAACTGTGTCCTCTCAATTGTGCAAGTGTTGCCTATAAATAGACCTGCTGCTGCAGAATTTCATTTGAGATCTTTTGCGTTTTTAAATTCTTGAGAACATTCAAAAATTGCAAGTTGCATGTTCTTGTGTTCTTTATATTCTAGAGGCATAAAGTTCATCATTCTTCCTCCTTACTCTTTGGTGTTTTTTGTGTTGTCTCTTATATAATAACCCCCATATACAGGGACGGACTTACGTTGGGGCTTAGATGTGCCCGAGCCTCCCGGACCCAACAGAAAAACTTTCCGGCGTCCTAGTGTCCATCCCATCATTTCAAGAAATCACCCCCAATAAATAGTTGTAGGGGGTGCTTAGGAAGAATAAAAGCAAGCCAGATTCCAAGGGTTCTGAAAAATAATTTATGACGGATGGAGGAGGAAAATGCAGAGACCAAACGCATGAGAGAGAGAGAGAGAGAGAGAGAGAGAGATTGAAGACGACCAAAATACAACCTTATCTTTTCTATTGTTAATATATTTTTTAGGCCTTCAAACTACGAATAGTAGATGTTTGATTTTGAATGTGTGTCGTGATTTTGTGGATTTTTATTTGCATTAGAAGTTAAGGACCATCTAACTATTTGCTGGGAACGTGAAACTGAAAATATGTGCCAAAAAAATCGAAAAAATAAAGAAGGGAAAAGAAAACCACCAATCAAGAATAATGCAATAGTTATATAAGGATTGAAAATAAAGTCATTTTGCAGGCTTATGTTACTTTTTTGATATAAATCTTTATTAGAATCACACTCTAGGTATTTATTTTAGGTATAAATATTTTTTTACTCATATAGTGATGTACCTCCAAAGTTTCGGAGCCTATATACTTTCAGTATGGTTATTCCATCTGTTTCGATCACATAATAGATTCATAGAATCATATAAAAACTGACATCAAGGATAAAAGAAAATTGAAATCTAAGGTTTTTAAAGGCATACAAAGCAACAAAATTCAACATTCAACAGTGGAATAACATTCGATGATGTACGAAAGTCACCAAATTCTTTTGCTGAATAACCAATTGAATAAGATTTAATGATGAGTCAATCATTCTTTTGCAGAGTCATCTAAATAGGTTCAGAGACTATTTAGGTGTTAATCATTCAACATTTAATCATGTACGAAAGTCACCAAATTCTTTTGCTTTGATACTCTTCAGTAGCCCTTTTTCAACAGATTGTTGTGAAAAAAAGAACAAAACGAATCATGGGCACGTTCTGATGGTTTTGTGGTAACAAAAAGGGTATGATATTACATTAAATCTCATAGCACTTGATACTTAGGTTTAGATATCCATACTGATATGATGTGAACTTATAACGTTTACCCAAAAATCGACAAAAAGGCAGCAGCTAAATCATCATATATAAATAGCCTCCCATTTCCTCCTCCAATTTGTACACCACCCAAACCTACTTGCCTTTTCTGCACTCAATCCACTGAATTATTTTCCTTACAATCTCCCTCTTTGTCTTTCTATTTCTCTATATAATATAAAAATATCCAGTTGTTCCTCGCATGGGTCAGTTCCAAATGTAAACATTATGTGTTCACGTTGAGATGGCAAGCCAAAGATAGAAGTTGCCATGCCAATAATAGGATTCAGTACTTTTTTCCAAAAGGAGAAAATGTTTGAGGAGTTCAAAACCGTATTCTGAAGGGTATTCAACCGGCTACCATCACTTCGACACCGTTTTGTTGTATGGTTCGAAGGAGCCCCTGGGAGCTGCCGTTAAAGATGCCATTAGAGACGATATTATTAGCTCTAGGTCCGAACTGTTTATCACCACCAAATTATGGTGTTCTGACGCCTATCCTGGGCTGGTTGTGAAAGCTTTGCAGACGAGTCTGGGGTGAGTTAAATTTTTTTCTATCTCTAATCGAGTATATATATTTACTTTATTCTTATTTTTTGATTATTACTGTTAAAATTGTTAGGAGAAAGAACCGAATTGATATGTGACTTTGTCTGTGTTTTGTTTTACCATTTTTTACTACAGAAAATTGCAGATGGATTACGTTAATTTGTTTTTAATCTATTAGCCGGTTAGCGCCAAGCCTGGAACTGGATACCCAATAAAGGCAGAGAATTTTATGCCTATGGATTTCAAAGATACCTGGGATGAGATGGAAGTCTGTGTGGATAGTGGAATGACAAGGGCAATTCGGGTATCTAATTTCTCAATCGCCAAAATTGAAAAGCTGATGATGACTGTTAGAATCCTTCCTGCAGTAAATCAGGTTAAAAATAAACTTATTTCCTTTATTTATTAATATAATAAAAGTCGAGCCTCTTAGTCGTGAAGAACATTAATCTTTTAATTATATTTAGGTGGAAATACACCCATATTGTAATCAGAAAAGCCTGATTACAAGCTGCCGAAGTAAGGGCATCCTGGTCATTAGCTACGCATCGCTCGGTGCTTTGGGCAACCGATCCGGCACCGACAAAGTGATTCAGTCGAACTTACTTGCCAAGATAGCAGCAGACAAGGGGAAGTCTCCAGCACAGGTTTAATGAAATTCAAAAAAACTTACATTTTTCTTGTTAATTACGAGCTAGCTGTTAATTACGAGCTAGTTAATGATGATCACGAAAGTTTTTTTATTTTTTATTTTCTGGACTTCTAAAAAACTGTGTGTGTGCAGGTAGCTCTAAGGTGGGCTTTCCAGCAATGGATATGGTTCCTAGCAAAAGGATACCAGGAACATCATATGAAAGAAAATATTACTATCTTTGACTGGGAACTCACTGATGTAGAGCTCAAGGCAATAAATGAATTCCCTCATGTTCGAGTCTGTAAAGACGGTAGCTATATTTTTGTGTATAGGCCATTTGCCGGATTGAAAGATCCATCTATTGTGACTGTGGATGAGTTCTATCTTGAGGGAAATCTTGTAGTTCGACCTGAGCCAACTTCTCCCTCTGTTGTCTTTTGTGTGTGGAAATCTCTATTTGGATCAATCTCCATGAGTCCACCGGGTCTAGACTCTGTTGCTGCCAAATCTTGTTATTCCTTCCTAGCCAAATATTCCAGATGATGAGGAGAAAGATATCAATGTCCTCTTTTGTTGGGGATGCTTGAATCCAGTGTACAAACGTTCGGAATAAGGATGGCTGTAAATGCTGGAAGATTGATGAAACCGACGTCGGAGCTAGTGACCAAATTTCTTTAGACACCCTGCAGTTAAGGAAAAGATGAAGGCTATCCTCCTCTGTCAGATGACATTGAGGACAAACTGTAGCAATTTAAATTTCTCTCTTTGCTAGTGCTGATCTGATAGCCAATGCGTCATGAAGTGCAGTGTTTTCTGTTTTGGTTGAACTGAAGAATTCCCAAGCTTTTTTCAGGCCAGAATTTCAGGGGAGTTCTGTTGGGGAGTGGTCTGGTGATGTTGTCTGTTTAGAGCTATATGATATCTACTTTTTACTGAATAAGAACCATGTGATGCATGAAACCAATGGAGGCGATCATGCTGCTGAGCTTTGTCAGGATCGATATTAATGCTAGTAATGGACTGTAGCAATTGATCCTGGAAAACATTACTCAGAAGTTCAAATTCCAGTATACATTTGGGAGGATGAAATCCTTGACCCGAGAGCTTGTATGTGTAGCCAGGATGGAATTTCTTTGAATCGGATTAGCATGGTTTGGAATCCACATCCTCAGCAATCCCTATGTCCATACCTGATACCGCCTTCCATTTGACATTTTGATCAAGTAACTCCGCCCCCCATAAAATACTTAAAGTAGATACTATTTGGTGTTCTTTTGTAGAATTTGCTGCTGCTTGATCTCCATGGGATTGTTTAAACAAAATTGAAACATATAGTTGCTAGAGAATGTGAAGTGTTTTATATACTTTGACAAAAAATCAACCGGTTATAACAATTGTCAGAATATCAAGAGACGAGTGAATGTGTAAATACTATAATAATAAATTTTAATTTGAATAGTAATTAAAGTATAGGTAAATGAAGGAGGTGAAAAGGTTGTAATAATAAAGTAGAATTTAAATGATATCTTTTAGGCTCCGTTTGGTTGCATTGAATTGAGACCAAGAATTGGAATTGGAGCTCTTTAATTCCAATTCTTGTGTTTGGTTAACAAAAATTGAAGTGGAAGAATTGGAATTGTAATACTATTTTGGGTTCAATTCTTTGATTTTAATTCTTTTGTGGGGGTAAATAATTGGAATTCAAATTCAAGGGATTAAAAAAAAATTCGCGGGTCTAAACCGGGTCATTTCCGGTTATAACATAAACGGGTCATCTCTTCCTTTTTTCCCTTAAGTCCTTTTCTTTTCTTTTTTTTGGCTTTCACCCTTGCCCTTTTCTTTTCGTTTTGTTTTTCTTTTTTCACTTTTTGTCTTCTTATTATTATTATTATTATTATTATTATTATTATCATCATCATCATCATCATCAACAAAATCAATCTAAAATTAACATTATATTTTTTGAGAAAAATCAAAAGTATAATTGTCCCAAAAAATTAATAGATAAATATTTTAATTTTGGGTTAGAATTTTTATTATATATCGACACAAGAAACACCATAAAATTTTCAAAAATATTTTATAATTGTTCCATATGTACACCTATATTAATATATATATATATATATTAAATAATACATGGCATTTTTTCATCAAAAATTCTGTAAGTTGAATTTTAAGTATATGTTTTTTCATATATAACTATATACTAAAACTAAAAAATTTTAAGCAAATTCCAAAAAATAATGTCAACATATATAATAGAAATTAATATTAATAAAATGAATTTATATTATATACAATATTTTTTACTAATATAGGGGAAAAAATCAATAAATCAAAAATTAAAAAATTTTGAAAAGTAATAAAAGAGAGGGACTCAAGGATGTTTACATATCATAGTAATAATTCTTACGCAATAATGTTTCTTTTGTTTCCTACAAAAAAGTGTGTACATAATAAATCACAAAATAATATAGCAAATTAAATAAAAAATTATTTTTTCAAAAAGGATTAGTTTAAAGGACAACAAAGTAATCTAATATACATGTACACAATGATTTTTTTTTGTTTTATACATATCCGTGATAGATTATTTTGACATAGGAAATTAAGTTTTTTTTTTTTTTAAAAAAATTTGACATGAAGTATAAATTGTATTAATTATCTAGTAACAAATTAATTTCAATTCTAAAGTATCCAAATTTTGAAGCATCCAAACGCAAGAATTGGTATTAGAACCTTAATTCTAGTCAATTATTAAGATCTCCCAAACAAATAAATTGAGATTGAATTGCAATCCCAATATTTTAATTTCAATTTTTTTGGATTGTAATTCTAATTCAATTCCAATTCATTCCAACCAAACGGAGCCTTAGTTAAATTGGAATCACACAAGTAGAGGACCATCAAAACTTTAAAAATATTGTGCAATTATAATATAGTTAGAAAAAAAAATCCTTATATACGTAATTGTAACTCTTTGGGATAACTCCTTGCATAATGCATACTTTCTTTAGAATACATTTTTTTTTTCTTTTTCGAATACATAATTTGTAAATTTTCCTCTTAATACATATGACTATCTTTTGTGACAAATAATAGCGTGCAAATTTCTACTATTCCCAATTTTTTTAGAATATCCACAATGGTGATAAATAATCACTTTATCATACTATTTATCACATTGTATTGAGTGTTTTTACACCGTATAATATACTTTTTGGGGTTAAATATAATTAATATGAATTTATGATGATATTAAAATTATTTCAATTTATTATACTTTTACAGTGTAAATCCATCAACGAAGGCAAATTGAACAATAGTATTCTTTCCATATAAAAAGCTTTAACTTAATTTACGGTTAGTTAATTATTTTAGATTTGGAAAATCTAACTTCTTAAAATCTCATAGTATAAGGTTTGGAAAATCCCATGTGGCGGAATGTTATTGGAATGCATGACGAAACTATCATATTTGTCTTAGTGGGCTTTTGGTCTTTGGATCCATAACAATTTTGGATTATTACTTTTTTTTTGACAAGAATTTTGGGTTACTACTTGTTATGCAAAATTTGTTTGGATTAATTTTCACTTGCTACAGATTTAGTTCAAATAATCCTAACTAATATTCCCTCCATCCGAAAAAATAAGTGGATTAAAATTTTCAGACAAAAAATGAACTATTCATCCAAGTTATAAAAAAAAAAAAGTCACCGTAGTTGACGATGAATATTGTACTATTTCTATCCCAAAAAAATAGTGCACATTAAGTTTTTCAATTTATATTGTTTTTATTACAAAATTCAAAATTTAATGTGGATTATTTTTATGGAACGGAGTAAGTAGTAGAAAAAGAAAAAAAAAGTACTAGTGAAGTCTGTGTTGTTGAAACGTTACTTTCTTATAAACAGTAAAATGAACCATTGTTAGACAAATTTCTAATACCACCAAAAATTTCTTCCACTTAAATCGATCTGTGATTAAATTAAATTGGGTTCAGGTCCAGCGATTAACTTCTGTCGTATCATCCCTTTTCACCGCCGTTGGCGGGGGTTTGATGCCGTAATCTGACGTTATTTCTGGTTGACATTTTCAGCCGAATCTCCACTTATAGCCCGAGAAGAACACCCAACAGACTAGTCAAACCGTGTTATATTCTTTTCTTTTTTCAAATTTTTTTTTTTTTTTATGATTTTTCCCTTTGAATATAATAATAGGTGACAGATGGAGCCGCCTTTTTGGTAGTTTTTGGTCTCACACTTAAAATACTGCAGTTTATTGGGTTGGTGTTTTGTAGGGGTTTTCTCTTTTTGTTTTGGGTTGATTCAAAGGGAGATAATAAAAGAAAGAAATGTATGGGGTGGCTCCGCCGAGGAGCTCCGATTCGGGTGGCGTCGCCGCCGGTGATGCGGAATATGTCCGGACTTACCATACTTGGAAAGGCAGCAATGTAAGTTTTGATTTATTTTTATTCAGTAATTTCAATTCAGATTTATGTTTGGGCGTGTTTTCTTTTAGAGAGATAATTGCAATTAGAATTCAGTTCACCGTAGGATTTATTGGGGTTACGTGGAACTGAGGTTTTTGGTGATGGGTTTTGGTAGATTTTTCAGGCGGGGGTGTTCTTAAATTTATGGTTCTCAGGTTGTTTGTTTTGTACGAAATGAGTATTGATAAGAATAAATTGATCTGAAAGGACTTGATGGGTTCCCGTTCTTTTAGACTTTATCCGATATGATCTTTGGTATTAACTCACGTTTTAGATCATGGACGGAGGATGAACCTTATAGGTGAAAGAGTTGTTATCGGAAATGATCTCTTCTAGGTTATTTTCCATGGTTGACCACTAGAAATCTATGTTCTCTTCCTTCAATCATCAATACTCTCTCAAAATGGTTTTATGGTTCAAAGTATCCAAGTGCTTTGTGATCACCTAAAGTTATCAATATATTCTACAAGGTCACCTGAAAAGTGAAGAATTGGCAATTGTTTGAATTTTGTTAGCTACCTCACATTTTGGTGTAGGTTTTCTTGAGGTGCAATTGTGATCACCTTCGCTTAGTGCATGGAAAAGTTATGACTTCAATGGACCAGCAAAAATGGAAATTATTGTTTTGTGTCTATCAGTCCTTGGGAAAGTCCTGTTTCTATTGAGTTCCGGCATGTTCCTTTTTTAGGATATCATAAATGGGATGCTATTTCTGTAATCTATGCTAGCTTATTAGAGCCGTGTGGCTTTAAAAAATGTTGCAGAAAAGTTTCATCTAATTGTTTTCCTATCTTGCAGATATTTTTGCTTCAGGGGAGGTTCATCTTTGGACCTGATGCGAGATCAATATTCCTGACGATGTTCCTTATTATTGCTCCTGTTGCTGTTTTCTGTGTCTTTGTTGCCCAAAAACTGATGGATGCTTTTCCTGGCCACTGGGGCTTATCAATTCTCCTTATAGTTGTGGTTTTTACAGTTTATGTAAGTATCTGACCTTTTGTTTTTCATGAACTTCTTGATTCAACTTTTGACCTATAGGATATTTTTATTGATGATTTTTTGAAACTCTTAACTCTCCAAGTTTGGGGCTTTTTGAAGAGTTAATATTTGGTGCCACAATTTTTTTTTGCCTTTTATTTACATGATCAATAATGTGTGAGACGAGGTATGATAACACAGTCCTTTCCAGAATCAGTATAAAATTGGTTTCTTTTAATTTTTAGTTGCAAGGAAAGCAGGAATTCTTTTGGTTAAATTTGTAAAGGCTACTGATCAGCTTGCTCGAATATCTCCTTTATCGAGATGTGTCATTTCACATTGAAAACTGAATTTATTTAGTTGTTTACCCCCCAAAAAAAAAAAAACTGAATTTATTTGAATCTTCCCAGGATGTGGTCCTTCTTTTGCTGACTTCAGGAAGAGATCCTGGTATAGTTCCACGTAATAAGCATCCTCCTGAGCCAGAAGGTTATGAAGGCAGTATGGACAGTGGTCAATCTACACAACTGCGTCTTCCCCGTGTCAAAGACATTGTTGTAAATGGAATCACGGTGAAGGTTAAATATTGTGATACATGCATGCTGTACAGACCTCCACGATGTTCACATTGTTCCATATGTAATAATTGTGTGGAAAAATTTGATCATCACTGTCCTTGGGTTGGCCAATGCATTGGATTGGTAAGTACTCAATTTTATTTTATTTTATTTTTTGATAGTGATTGAAACTAATCTTGCGGGTGAAGTTGTTTGAACTTCCTTTTGGAGCTTTCAAGCTATCCATTTTAATTTGATTTCTTAAGAGAGAGGTTTATAGTATTATTCCAACTCATTTATAAATACTACTTTAGGTTAGAGTGCAAGGGAATTGCTTCCTACATTAATTATGTCAGCTATTGGTGCATTTTTTTCCTTCATCGTTTTCATGGCTATTCTTACTTCAGCGTTGCATTCTGGAAATAAGCGGATTTGAACTAATGGTGGTTCAGATGTATTTGATGTTTTGTTCATTAACTCTCTGGATGTTTTAAATTAAGCAATACTTCCTTGAAGGTTAGGATTTGCCCGCCAAATATCCTTGGCAGAAACCTAGAATTTGAAGAATGGATATTTTGTTCATTAGGTCTCTGGATGTTTTCAATTAAGTAATACTTCGTTGAAGTTAGGATTTGCCCGCCAAATATCCTTACACAAACCTAAAATTTTTGAAGAATGGATAGGGACATTGGTTTGACATTACTGATGACAAAAGACTCATTGGACCAGTATGAGAAACAGTTTTATTATTTACATAACCAACCTTATTCAGCATTCTATCTGCGTGGATTTTGATTATTTACTTAGCTTATTTCAGCATGCCATTGGTATTAAAATATTTTTTTTTCGGTGCAGCGGAATTACCGGTTCTTTTTCATGTTTGTCTTCTCGTCGACTCTTCTTTGCCTGTATGTACATGGTTTTTGCTGGGTTTACATTCGGAAAATAATGGCCAGTGAGCACACTACAATCTGGAAGGCAATGAGTAAAACTCCAGCCTCCATTGTACTCATAGTTTACACATTCGTATCTGTTTGGTTCGTTGGGGGCCTCTCAGTGTTCCATCTTTATCTGATCGGTACAAACCAGGTATTGCATGTGTAGTTCAATTCATGATTACTGCATTTTTATCACCCCTTTATTTATTTCCGTACACTCTTCCAAAATACCAATATTTGGTTTCTGGAAGCCTTTGTGATAATATAGCTTTTTCTTGCTTTGCAGTCAACATATGAAAATTTCAGATATAGATATGATCAGCGAAGCAATCCATACAATAGAGGAGTGGTTGAGAATTTCATGGAAGTTTTTTGCACTCGTGTTCCTCCTTCAAAGAACAAATTCAGGGCAAAGGTGTTGCGAGACCCTGAGGTTCCAGCTCAAGCATTCAGTGACGATTTTTCAGTATCTAAACTAAGGAAACCCATGGGTGACATAGAGATGGGGCGAAAGCCAGTATGGGATGGAGATGCGAGTGCGATAAGTGACTTTGAAAGGGAATATAGCAATAGTGATAGCCAAGAGAAAGATGCTGAGCTTCCAATTGTATCGCCCGAGCTAAGTAGGATAACTCTTACTGATGGTGCCGAGGGGAGGAGTATTCTACACTCTAGGCGCTCTAGTTGGGCAAAGAATAGAAGCCTGGATATGGCACCTGAACCTGGAAGCAGCTCCTCTCAGGTTCCAAAGGAGCCAGCGATATTCCAGCAATGGCATCACAACTTAGATTCCATTGCCTCTCCTGAAATTGTTTCCATGGCCTCCCGGTTTGGGGAGTTGGATCAATCTTCTCTTGGCGACCGATTTAAAGAAGAGAATCAGAAACGATAAGTTGATGCAATATCTATCAACACCTCTTGTTTTCTTTTTCTTTTTTTTTTTTAACTTTTTTATCTGAGAATTTAAAAAGAGGAAATTAATTGTATGTGTGAGTTTGGAGTTGGCTTGATAGATATAGTGTTGTGAATATATGCCTTTTCCCTTGTTCTAAATCTCAATCGGCAATTTGTGAATGTATCTCTAATTTGGTTGTTCATAAATATTCTTTGCTACATTTTCTCCACTTTTGTACGCAGTTCCTATGTTTCTGACGGGCTTAATGCATCGTCATATAATATTGTAAAGCTTGCGTTTGGATGGTGATCAAAGATACGCTGAGACTTGAAGAGACAACATGTAATTGATTGCTGCAAAAATTTTAATGCTGCTTAGACCAGGCTAGATTTCTGCCAGATATTTATCCTGACAAGTACCGATGCAATAATCTGCTTCTAATCAGGTGAATCTCATTACATTAACCGTACGAAAATGGTAACCATAAAATAGCAACACTGCAATGCTTTAGACACAGGGATAAGATATCCAAAGGAAAATTATTTCCACTACAAATTGATGCTTGAGATTCTCCTCATCCCTACAAAAATTTGATGGTAATCCAAGTCTAGGGCATATTTTGAAAGCGCTTCATGATCATCATAGTGATATCCATGTAGCGTTGTGCACAGTTAGTCAGACAAGCTGTTTCACTGGAGCTAAACTTGCTTCCAGGAGTGCTGGTAATGCATTTGTCCCAACAGATGCTTGTAAGTTTTGCAATTACTTCATTAGCCATGGCCCTCTCCTTCTCTTGCTGCAAAAAGAAGCCACATAAGGTTACACTTTGATAATACAACGTTGAATCAAGCTCAGCTGACCAAAAAATGGTAGATTTGATTAATCCTTACTACACATTCCAGGTCTCAAACTATAAGAGAACATGCAAAATAAGGAAAAGAATTGCATTTTTCACTCAAGCATGCATGACAGCATGAGAACCTCACCCCATGAAGGGTCAACTGAAATCAAGAAAGGGATGGTACTGACTTTCAAAGGTTGCACGATACAAATCAAAACTCGAGCAATCAATTTATCAAGCAAAAACAATGTAGCCGAAAAACTATATTTATTTCAAAGATGGCCGCCTCAAACTCTGATTTAAATTTTGTTGGGAACTCAACAAGACCGACAGAACATAAAATAAATATATTTGATGTTATAACCATCCAAATTTTAGAACTGCCTCAAAGTAAAATATGAGAAGAAGAAACTTCTAATGACTAAAACTCTCTTCCCCTTCGCAAAAGAGTTTCCTTAACAAATAAGGGCGTACAACCTATCTCTTCCCTTCTCTCTATATTTTCTCAGCAAACTTAACAGCATGGGGGTTAACACCACAAAACAAGACTAGTCATTAAAGCAGGAGTAGACACGTCTAATGGGATACAATGTTCAGGGCAATGGAAACAAACAGTAAAAATGTGCATTTGGATATAAATTCTCACATGGAACAATATGTTGAAGGACATACACTTATGCAGCATAAGAGTGCTCTTTCGCAACGCCCGGAGAAATTCCTAATTCATCTTTATAAAAGACTCGATAAATGTGATAATCTCATATTTTCTATTTTCAAGTCAGTAGACAAAGGTACAATATACGGATAAACCCATTCTTCTTACCACTTTAAATTACGATTAGCTGAAGTACATGTTTTCTCTCTTTGTTTCACAAGTCTTAAAAGACCGATTCAGCAAAATTGAAGCCTTTTTCCTTATACTCCCAATAACATGATTTCACACAAAATCCACATAAAGCGAATAGTCTTCAAATGGACTAATAGACAACCCAATATCAAATCTCAAAATAATCCTTCCAAATAAGAACTAAATTACTTAGAAAAGAAGAGCAATGTAAAAAAAGCATAAAGATCTATAAGAAACGCCCCCAAAAAAACACGATTAACCTGTAAAAATTGGACAGAAACGCAGATACGTAACAAGAAATTACAAACGAAAGACTGCTTCCAGAATAACCATACTTCTACGAATCTAAACAACGAAGACCCCGCAACCAATTCACAGAAAAATGATTGCAAAAGCAAAACAAATAACATTAATTCAATATCTAGATCACGCCAATGAAGAGAACCAAGTTGTAGCCAAGTAAGAAAAAGAGTCTTAAAAAAAATTACCGAAAGAAATTGTTGTAATTCCGGGGAGTTGAGCTTTGAAGGATCCATGGAAGGGTTGAAAGAAAGAATTCCTGAGATCAGAGAGATTTTGAGCTATAATCGATCAAAGGGGTTTTAGCTCGTGAAAGTCTTTGGATTGGAATCTCCTGATGAAAAGGGTAGCTATTGATGGGCCGACTTCACCTACAAGCAAGCTAATTTGAGGATTGTCTCACTTGGGCCATTATGTGATTTAAGGCCTCAAAAGTTGAGCCCAACTGTTGGGCCTAACAATTTTTGTTTTTGTTTTTTGTTTTTTTGTTTTTGTTTTTTTGAAACAGAATGTTCCGATATTTAACAAAATTTAAACTATGGTAACATATTAGTACAAAAACAATATTTAAACATTTTTCTAATATTTCAAAATTTGACACTCTTACACTCTCGATTCAACCAAAAATTTTTTTTTTTTTAAAAAAAACACTAAAAGGAAAAGGAAAAGTGATTTATCTATGAAGTGGTCAAACCCTAAAAGAGAAAATGTTGACAGTAAATGGTTGGGACATTGAATTTTGAGATTTAAACTATTTTTAATTAAAAAATTTCAAAATTAATGTGTATTATTATTTTAGGATAGAGGAAATATAATCTAACGCAAGTCATAAAATTCAGTTTTATCATTTTTTTCTACTTGTATATCCCATTTACAACAAAGTTAGACTGTAATTATATACAAGTAGCAGGCAGATACATACCAAAAAATAATAAAATAAAATAAAAATACATAGATTATGAAGTTAAAAGTTAATGAAAATTATTGTAGGAATCATTATATATTTTCTATATCTTTTGTCAAAAAATGATTGTCATGTTTTTATAAATATTGTTAGAAAGAGTTTCAATGATTAATACAGTCTTGAAAGAAATAAAAACTTTCTTAACGATAATTGCTTTTGGGACGGATAGATCAAATCTAGTTTTAACAAATTGCAATTAACTTTAGAGTTGAATAAAATGAAAACTTTTTTTAAGATAATCATTTTGGGACGAAGAGGAAGGGAATATATATATATATATATATATATATATATATATATATATGAAAAAACAAATGGCAGCATGCATGCATGAATATTACGCAGCCTCTTGCTCATGAATCCATGATCGTCTAACACCTAATAACTTTATGCCTTTCCCTTTTATTATTACCACAAAATTAAATAATATGAAACCAACAACAAAAGCAACACCTTCTGAGCGAAGGAAAGCACCAATACGATCCTTAAATCAGTCAATGGGGTACTTAGATCTTTCAAACCCTCTAAATCTCTTAGCACAGAGAAGAAGGTTTTTTAACCTTTTTTTTTTTTGTTAAAAAGCAGATAGCTTTTTTTCCACGCTTTTGAAACTTTCAAAAACGAAAAAATAAAAAATATAACTCAAACCCTTTGGGGGAAAAAAAAAACAACGTAAAGAAAGACACCAATCCCTATATATATTTCACTGTGGCCTAAAATCTAACCTAAAATTAATGAGATATAGAGGTGGAAGGGTAACCTTTTTATGTCAGACATCCATTTTTATTTAAAAGCAAAGACAACTTAATTTTTAGTTGGAGGACTCTGTCAAACCATTCATCGCACGGAAACGTATTATTTGAAAATTGAAATAAATTGGAAGAAAAAAAAAATGAAAAAAAGAAAAAGTAGTTCAGCAAATAATGGTTGAAAAGATTGCTATGCTTTGATATGGGGTGCATGTGGAATGCTTATAACTATATTAATTAATTATTAGTAGCACTAATTACGAACTAATGTGTGAAGAATCGATCTCGAATTTATTACAAAAGAGCTTAATTTCTTTTACACTAAAACAAAAGAAACTATGTAGTTAAAAATAAGTAAGAGTTTTCTTGAATATGACATCAATTTCTAAACAACTAGTAATGATTGTTAATAAAGTGAGAGTATAATATTGGAAAAAACAAATAAACGTTATCGACGAAATTGCAAATGACCTATAAATAAAATAATGACGAATACTTAATTTCTTATAGTAGTGCGATTCTCCATTCCCGTTGTTGCAAGATTCACTAATGAAATTTTTAACTCATTTGGTTTTATTTTCTCTTTTTTCTTTCCGGGGTTAAAAGATGATCAGAAAAAGGGTTCGAATAATTGTAATTGAAAGAAATCAAATCATGCGCAAATGAGAAGATACTTATGAAATGATATAGTGAATAAATAATACTCCTTCCGTCCCATAATTATTGTCCAGTTTTACTAAAATGAAAGTTTTTATTTTTAGTCAAATTTAACTATATTTTACCTTAAACAACCGGATATGCCCCTACATAAGTAATTGTTTAACTACTAAGATTTTATGGATAATGTTTTTTACTAAGGACAAATGTGTAACTTGGTCCATAAAAAGTCAAATTGGACAATAATTTTGGGATAAAATTTTTTGGGCAAAGTGGACAATAATTATGGGACGGAGGGAGTATTACTTCCGTCTCAGAAAAATAATCCCCAATGAAATTTTTTTTTTTTTATAAAATCTATCCCAGTAGACTCCACTTAAATGTGGGGGTAAAACTTCTCCCTTACAACCCCTTGTGAGAATCGAACCCTAGTCTATTACTAGGAAAGACAGCCCTAAAAATAATCCCCAATGAATTTTGAAATTTAATACGATAAAATCATTAAACTTATTCATCATTAAATTCTAGAAGATATTCTATATATATTTAATTTTGAAATGATTGTTTGATGCTATTATAATAAGTGAAGTGATCATTTTAGAAGAGGGAGATATATTATGTACATCATTACCAAGTTTTGCATAGCATAAGTGTACGTAATAATTAACGATAAGTTTACAATCGTAATAACTTTTTTTTTCCAGATCGAACTGGTAATAGGAAAAAAAAGAAAAGTATAACGTATCAGAACATACTTAGAGAAGTTATAAAGTATAAACGACAGATGATAAGTTTGAAAATCTTGAGGAATTGGATACAGCTCTCAATGGTTTGTTACCTCATCAAAGAATCAAAGCTCAATATCACTCAGTATCAATTCCTGCTTTCTCATTTTCTTTCTCAGGAAGAAAAAGAAAAGGAAAAAGTTTCCAAACTTTATACAACGGTGAAATTATTGGTTTAAAAATAACTAATTAGATTCTTGTGTTATTTATTGTACTCCAGAAATTCGTGATTTTTTATAACGTCACTAATATGTCTGGTAAATTAACGATTGTGACGCCTAATTTTTTTTTTTGTATATTGCGAGATATTCACCATCGCCAATAATGAAAAATCTGCATCGCTCATGGTAGGCACCTTGGTGGGTAGAGAGCTGGCCAAAGAATTTAAAGTTGTTCCATGCCCATGGCGAACTATGGTTAAGGGTGGAGGAGTCCTTACCACTCCACCACAACTCCTTTGGTTACGTCTAATTTCTTTAAATTAAGATTCTGCCAAGAGATATGATATAATATGTCACAAAATTAGTTTTCTAATTCGCGACTAACAAAAAAAAAAAAATCATTTGAATTGCAGTAGGAGAAAGGGAGTTTAATTTGAGTTATGCATGGATGCTTATATCAGCAAATGACCGTGGGAAATGAATTTTCGCATAGCCAGCTGTGTGTTACTCTAAACACGAGTGCAAGAATATCTTTTTACCAATTTATTCTATTTTACTTTCTCCTATACACGTACTTATATTTTTAGAATCTTTAAAGATTTATTTTTTTTTTCTTCCATCAAATCAACGAATTTTCCCGATTAAGCAAAATTGGAAAAGCAATATATTTCACTCTACTAATATATAACTCGACTAATAACTCTACTTACATGGCATCCTAATTGGCATATCCACATCATCTCATAAATTTATCTAATATTTAATTTAAACATAAATTCCTTATCAGAATACTGTTCATCTGCCACTTATCAAATCCGGCTTTTAACCTCCATATTTCAGCTTCTTGGGATCGACGAAAGAGTCAATATCGTCTTGATCATCCATCTTTGACACCGTACCGGGTTCAATTTGCTCCAAGAGGCCACACCAATTTTAAGCAAACGAAAATAAAATCTAACTCCAATGTATGAGGCAAGCCGAGGAAGACAAATAAAGAACACACCCAAATCCCATTAATATGACAGCACCGAGAATCTGAATTTGTTTCAAGAAAATAAATTGGAGAATTAAGATCACAATAAAGATCAACCAAGAAATCCCATCACAATCCACAAAACCATAAAATTGGTGCACCAATCGTAAATTTTCGGTGACCCCGGCCTCTCTTTGTTGAGGATTTGTGATTAAAAAAAATCATAAATTTTTTCATGGATATTCAGTGGCACCGGACTTTCAATTCTCCGGCCGATAATCTCTTCCATTATTGTTTTCTTAAAAAGAAAGTTCAGTAGGATAATGATAGGATTTAATTTCTTAATTCAATTTTAGATAAATTCATGAGATGATATGGATGTGCCGGAATTAAATTTGCCGTATAGGTAGAGTTATTAGTAAAGTTATATTAGTAGAGTGAAATATTATTACTTAAATTGAAATGCGCTTTTCCATAATCTTTACACTCCTCAAAGTAATATATATACAGGACATCATTGAAAGCCAAAAAAAAAAGGAAAAAGTTACTCCTCCCGTCTCAAAGTAATTATACTATTTATTGTGTAACTAACAACAAACTTAAATTAGGACAATTACATTTTATGTAATGTACTAGCTAAAGAGTTTTCGTTTTTTTCTTTTCCTTTTTTTTTTTTTTTGCTGTTGTTTTTAAATCTAAAGAAAGTTTCGATTTAGTACGTTCCGTATAAGGATTAGTGACTTTCATCAGAAAAACAAAGTGCGATTAACATATATTGTAGCTATATCGATTTACAATGTGCATGAACAATTTTTTTAATTCTCCTCCAGAAAAGAGAAATATTCTGACAGTTACGAGGCTTCATTATTCATTTTATGTAATGTAACTACATAAAATAAGTTTTACTTACAGTTTATTTTTAATTATTATATCTTTGTATAACTCTGATGTTCGGAGTACATTTTTCCTAAACAAGAAGTACGGCGAAAAAAAAAAAGAGAGAAAAGAACATTTTCCATCTCACAGAATGAGACATTTTTAAAATATATCTTTCTCTAAGAGGAGTCTTATTCATATACCTGTAATCTTCGTGCCATCACTTAGACTCCGTTTGATAATCACGGAAGTCTTCTGAATACTTAATACTTAACATTGAAGTCTGAAAATTGAATTTAAAACGTCTGAATTTGATGTCTGAGGACTGAAGTCTGAAGATTGAATCTGAATACTCATGTCTGAAAATTATTTAAATTTTTAGTATCATTAAAATTGAATTATAAACAAAATTATTTTAAATAAAAAAACGAATATATATTTTGTTCTAAATCATAAAATAATAATTTTAAAATAAATTTTTTGTATATATAATGAAAGTAGAAATTACACTTGGTAAAAATCAATATAGAATTAAATTTAGATTATTTACATATATCGACATATATGTATACCTTGTTATTTAGCGAATTATATGTATTAAAATTAGTTTAATTTGAGCAAGTTCGAGATTCTTTATACTCATAACATAAATTCAAATTTAAGCACTCTTAATTAATTTATATTAAGAAAATAAAAATTTTAAAACAATGTAAAATAAACTTTGAAATAAAGACAAGGGAAGAAAAAGGAAAAATAAAAAATAAAAAAAAGAGTAATTACAGAAATTAAGTGTTTAGTTGACGAAGCATGTATTTGTACGGTGCCTTAGAACGGGCGGCGACAATGAAATAGGCGGCGGTGGACGGTCTAAAACCTGCAAGACAGAGCCTCGAGTGTCTCTCGAGGGTAGACTCTCCGATGCTTAAGTCAATAAGAGAATGGAGAGAATAGAGAGAGAGGTATGTGTATCATGTGTAGAAGGTATAGAAGATAGGTAGAAGATATCCCTTATGAGAGAGGCACCACCTCCTTATATAGAGGAGGTGTTACCTGTTTCTTTAAACATAGTCGTAATAGGTTTAGGCGGTGGCTTAATCTTCAAGTAACCTAATCCTAGGCCTAATAGGCCTAGGGTTTAATTCTGACTCGTCAAGTGCCCCTAACAAGTCATATTCTCGAGACTCGCCGAGAAGAATATGGGTTGCTACGAGTGTTGATGTCTTCTCGAGTTTCATGGTGTTACCACAGTTTTCGAACTCTTTCGTTCTCGAGTGTCACCTATATAAGATAAAGAGAGATAGAATGCCTCGAGGAGGACTTTGTGTTAGAGAGTTTCTTGTTTGCGCAGTGGACCGCGAGAATTTGAATCCATGAGATGGTCAATCTCAGGATAAAGTTAATAGTATAATAAATTCTCAATGATAATAAGATAATCGTTGAAGTCATTGACAAGAAATATTTAAAAGTGCAAAAAATATAAATATGGAGTTTGCCTCTTATGGCTAATAATTAACCTTATCTGATATGGATTCGAGGTTCTTGTTGGTCTTGGTTTTCTTGTAAAACGGAAGGTTGCAAATACTCTTGGAATTTGCCTTTCTTAAGTCCTTCTTCGATTTGATCCTTTAAAGCGTTGCAGTCTTCTGTCTTATGTCCGTGATCCTTATGAAACTTGCACTAGAAATGTTGTGGTCTTCTATAAGGAGGAGCAAGCATAGGCGGTGGAGTCTCCAACTCGTTCTTATGGATTTGTAGTATTTCTGTTCGAGAACGAGTTAAAGGCGTGTACTCTGTATTGTTGAACTTGCGGTTTTCTCGATCATGCCCCTTGTTTTGCTCTCGGCCATAATCTGCCCCCGACCTTCAGCTTTGTTCTCGAGAATCTATTTTTCACGAATAGTCAGGTTGTCTCTTGCTCGACGGAGATCTTCTTCGGCTCAAACTTCGATCTCAATGATCGAGAAGAGTTGTTGCAATGTATACGGTGGTTCCTTTGTCAACTTCTGTCTGAGAATTGCAGGCGCCCCATATGGATAAAGACCATTGGTGAAGGTTGCGATAACCGTTTCTTTAGATATTCCTTCGACTTGGAATTGTTCTTTGGTGAAGCGGCTATAATAAGCTCCAATAGATTCTTCTCGTTCTTGCTTGAGAGACATTAACTCAGTAATCGTCTTGCGAATCTTTTTTCCTTGAAAAAACCTAGTGTGGAACAAGGTTCCCAACTCATAAAACGACTTGATACTACTCGGAGGTAGTGTTCCAAACCAAAGTTGATCTTGCCCTGTGAGATAGGTAGGGAACACCTTGCACATGAAACCGTTTGAATAATTCCTTAATCTCATAGCACTCTTATAAATCTGTAAGAAAACCATAGGATCTGTATCTCCTCCATAAGCCTTTAAATCCGGAAGATCAAACTTCTCAGGCATGGGTGTTTCTCGGATACGTTGGATGAATGGATTGTTGTCCTCTTCCTCGCCTCCTTCAGATCCAAGAACCTTACGTAGTTGTTCCTTGATGGTTGAGGATACTCGAGGTGGAGGTGCATTCACTCGAGGAGGATGGGTTTCTTCTCGAGTTATAAGGCCATGTCCTTGAGAGGTGTCCTCTTTCGAGAAGGTACCCAGATTGTCGACCAAGAGCTATCGCTGGTTGCTGTCGAGTGCACAAAAGCTTTTCACAAAATCTTGGAACTCGTCGAACAAGGTAGGTTGAAATTTGAAAAAGGCCTCCACGAGGTTTTGATCAAACAAACCACCAGACAGCCTGTTGGAGGATGGTTTCGTCGGAGTTGCCTGCTTGTCTTTTTCAGCGGCAATAGCAGTTGTTTGCTGTTTTTCTTGCGCCATGACGCTGGTGATGTTGCGCAGCATAAAGCACCAATAAATTTCAGCTTCGTTTCAAGGAATTTATTTGGTTGTAAGGAGCAAACAAATCGGTCCCACTGGGCGTGCCACTCGACGAAGGCTGGATTTGTACGGTGCCTTAGGACAGGCGGCGATGATGATCTAGGCGACGGCAGACGGCCTAAAACCTGCAAGACAGAGCCTCGGGTGTCTCCCGATGATAGACTCTCCGATACTTAAGTCAATAAGAGAATAGAGAGAATATAGAGAGAGGTATGTGTATCGTGTGTAGAAAGTGTAGAAGATAGGTAGAAGATATCCCTTATGAGAGAGGCACCACCTCCTTATATAGAGGTGATGTTACCTGTTTCCTTACACATAGTCATAATAGGTTTAGGCGGTGGCTTAATTTCCAAGTAACCTAAATAGGCCTAGGATTTAATTCTGACTCGTCATTAGTGATAAGTGATAAGTGGTAGGACTATCACTTATTTTATGGCTCACAATTGAACTGGCCATTCAGACGCACTTAATTAATTCAGACAGTGAAATTTTAGTTATCAAACGTACTTATTATATAAGTACTTAATTAGTTCAGAACTTAATTCATAAAGAATTTTTAGTAACGATTATCAAACACACTTAATTTCATTAAGTACTTAAATAAATTAAGTCACTTTATTGAGTGATTATGAAACAGAGCCTTATTACTGATATCATTTTACATAATAAATTTTAAATAAGATTATACGTAAAGAAAGTATAGGAATTAGCTTACTTTAGGAGTTAAATAACTCAAAATAATTTACAATAGAGTATTGATAGACTTGAAAAAATTCTTTGAGAAATATTATAGAGAAAAATGTATGGTTGAACAAAAAATTACATACATCTCACCTTAAATTAATTGGTTTCATCCCACAACAGTCATTATAAGTTTTTCTTACGAATATCATCGGTCAAATAATAATTTATACTCGTCCTGTTTTATTTTAATAATCTACTTTGTCATACTATTTTCATTCGACAAAGCCAATAATGAAAATGGGACAGAGGAGTATTTATTTATTTATTTATTCAAAATAAGGCTATATTATTTTAAGGAGTGGGGGAGTAATAAAGTTTATTCTTAACCCCTAAGGCCCCTAATCAGGTTGACAACCATAGACCATGCATAATCTTGTCAGCTGACTTTGGTGTTATTACATCAATTACAAGTATGATTTTTATCCAACTTTGGTCGTGTAGGCCAAAAGGAAAAGGGAATTAGTACCAAAAAAACTTTTGATCTTCATGGTCCATTCGAAAGGGAAAAACAAAGATTAATTATTTATTTTTATTTTGAAAATCCAACAACATCCAATTCTTTCTTAAAAATGAAGCTTCCAAGTATCCCATACCCCCATCATCTCCTCTCATATTCCCATTACTATATAAAGAGTCATCGTTCTGTACTTATGAAACATACAAGTAGATCTCTTTCCTCCTGATCAGATCTTCAAAACCAACTGAATAAACTAATTAAGTTGGTTTTTTAATTTAGGATATTCATTTTTCAACATATGGGCTGCTTGAACTTTGTCAAAGATGGAGTAATCAAGCTTCCTCCTGGTTTCCGATTTCAGCCAACGGATGAAGAGATTGTCTTCCAATATTTGTTGAGGAAAACATTTTCTTGCCCTTTGCCAGCTTCCATCATTCCTGAACTCAATATCTCCAATCATAACCCTTGGGATTTGCCAGGTAATTAATTTGCGCATTTTTTCATTCGTCCCAGAAAACTAGTCTGTCCTGTTGAAAATTGTTTAACAAGAGATGGATAGGTTTCTCAAAAAGAGGAAAAAAAAAAAAAAGCTTTACTGATACTATTATCATGTTTGCACGTATAGGTGATCAAGATCAGTCTAGATATTTCTTCTACAACAAGGAAGCGAAATACCCGGCCGGGAATCGGATAAATAGGGTGACTGAAGCTGGTTACTGGAAGGCTACCAGCGTCGAGAAGCAAATAGTGTCGTCTAAAAGGAAACCGCTTGTTGGATTAAGGAAGACTTTGGTGTTCTATGTTGGGAAACCTCAGCGTGGGATTAAAACTGATTGGATCATGCATGAATATCGTATCATCCTCACCGGAAAAGCAGCAGCTTCTTGTTCTCAACTAACAACAAAATTTCCCCACCAGGTAATTTTCGACTTAAGTAATCACAATTGAGCTAGATCTCCGGTTGTGTATATTTTTGTTGTGTACTTATCGTGTCTCATTTCTGAACCACAATTTTAGACTAAAATCTAAAGAATTATTATGTTTTGATATACTCCCTTAGTCGCCTTGTCCACTTAGATGAATAAGTTTTGACACATATATAGCTAGCTAGTGAAACTGGGATTAAGGTACTTGTTAATCATGAGGACACACACTGACATACATGGTAGGTGAAATATCAATGATTTAAGGCATTAATTCACATGTGAAAAAGAAAAGCGAGAGAGTGAGAGAGCATATCTTCCCATGCAAATGTGAATAAAAGTAAGTTGTTAGCAATCATTTTAACTTATATTTTTATACAATGTTTAAGGATATCTAGTAGTACATCATGTGTTTGAATTATGATTAGCATCTATTGATGTTTGATTCCTTTTTCTTGTCCACAGAGATCCTCGATTCAGTTGGGCAATTGGGTTTTATGCCACGTTTTTTTGAGAAAAGGAAGCCCCAATAATTATTGCAATTCTTACAACAATTTTGGTGATCGGAATATAGCAAAATTTGGCCTGCCGGCGGCAAGAATATTAGATAGTAGTATTGGTAGTGAAATAGGGTCAATTAGCTCATCCTCGGATTCAAGTGTTGTCACTGACGAGGGTGGTTCTAGTTCGTTTGATGATGATGATGATACTTGTAGTCACAATGCATAAGTTTCTTTTTTACTATTTTTATCTTATTTTGATCATCACTAATATTATTCCTTTATTCAGTGGAATAAAGTAGTGATTTTTTTATTTTTTTTTTTTGGCAAACGAATAAAGATTTGTTATGGACACCTCTAGTTTCACCCCTCCATCTCCACCGATAATGAAAGCCCCAACATCCTAATACAAGTTCAACTGAAGCCCCCAATTTTTCAAGGATTTGAAGATTTCTTTAATTAGTTACAAACTTACGATTGGGAAATTTTGATTAATTAATGGACTTCTGTTGAAAACAGTAGTAATTAGTATTATTATTAGTTTTCGCCGACTAAAGTTCTAAAGCGTTTCTGCAGACCGATTTCCTCACAGCGCCTCCGGGGATCTTTCTCTGTCTTCTTCCCCTAATCACTTCATCTCACAAACAATTGGTTTCCGATGTCGAAAAATTGTTCGAGTTCATTATAAAGCCTCAAAGTCAAATTTTTTTTACCAACGTGGTGGTCAACCATTGTTGTTAATTATGAATTTGTTGGATTACTTGCGATTTATTATTTCCGCTTCACCATCTCATGTTCATTTTATTTCTTAGGTAACGCACTTTAGACAATTTACATATGAAACTGTCGTGCGTGGACTTAGTGGGGCTAACTTTTTGTCTCTTGGATATACCCAATGAGGAGCTTTTTTTTTTTTTTTTTTTAATATTGAACGACTTTAACGAGAATCAAACACTCGACTTCCTGATAATAACCGTCTCCCATCTTAATTCCCTAACCACCCCACTCAACTCTTTCACTCCATAAAGAGCTTTGTTAATTACATCATCTCACTTAATATTTGGGATGTTGTTCGCCGGTTCTTTTACTGCCTTTGATTTTTAGAGAGGTAACATATATATATATATATATATATGTATGCATCTTGCTCGTTTGTGTATATATGGTGATTCTTTCCTTTTCAATGTCATGTTCAATTTAATTTGTTCATTATAGGTAACACATTTTCTGTAGCACAACTGATTAAGCAGTATTTACATGAAGATTGAATAAGTCAGCTTCCAGATGAAATGCTTTGTTGTATCTTATCGTTGTTTACGCTCAATGAAGCTAGCAGAACAAGTATTTTATCCACAAGACGGAACGACGTATGGACATATATATATGATCTTAATTTTTAATGCATTCACTACATCTTTCGAGGTGGTAACTGCCGAGGAGTACCGAACGAAATGATAAGAGGAAGGCCCAATTTTTGTTAACTTGTTGATTCTCGTTACAAAAGGCTAACTTTAGGATCCTTTGAAGAACAATGGTTCCACGGTCCTGAGTTACCCAGTCTATAAATAATACTCAATCCCGTCCTTATTGTAAGGTATTTTGATTTTGTTTTAGAAGAATGTTTTTTTAATTGAAATAAAAATCTTAAAAATATTTCTTAATTATTAGAAGAACAGAATGAATGTTAAAATATATTTTTAATATTTTTTTAATTAAAAAGACATACTAAATGAACTATAAGATAAAATTAAAATGTTTATAATAAGGACGGGAGGGAGTATTAGTGATCTTCAAATTGTGACATAAAAATCGTGAATGGGAACTTATACATTGTGGCTACAAGCAGCATCATCATCATCATCAGTCACAACACTTGAATCAGAGGATGAGCTAATTGACCCTATTTCACAACTACTAATATCTAATGTTCTGGCCTCCGGCCGCGGGCCAAATTTCCCAATATTCCGATCACCAAAAATGTTGCATGTATTGCAATGATACCGTACAATTTCACGCACTTCGTTGTTGAGGCTTCCTTTTCTTAAAAAAATGTGGCATAAAGCCCAATTGCCCAATTGAATCGAAGGCCTCTGCAAGAATTAAAAATAAATAAATTAATTAAAAACATTAGATCAGAGATGAGAGTTAAAACACATTACGTACTAATCATTAAGAAGAATTATAAAAAAAACTAAATTAATGTGATTGCTAACAACTTTTATGACACATCTGCATGGGAAATTATGCTCTCACTCTATCTTCTTTTCACATGTGAATTAATGCCTTTAATCATTCATATTAATTTCACCTAACCTGCATCCTCATGATTAAGAAGTACCTCAATCCGTTGATTAGATTCTCTGTTTCACAGTGAGTCAAACGTGTTCAGTTAAATGAACTATTATTTGTATGAGACTAAGGGTGTATGTGTAAGAACATAAAATGCTTCAGACATTAGTTTGAAATCGCATTTGAAAAATGAGACACGGTCAGTACACAACACATTTACCAAAGATTTAGCTCAACTGTGATTACGTAATTCAAAAATAACCTGATGGAGAAATTTTGTTTTAATTGGTCGAGCACAAGAAGCTGCTGCTTTTCCAGTGAGGATGATACGATATTCGTGCATAATCCAATCAGTTCTAATCCCACGTTGAGCTTTCCCAACATAGAACACTAAAGTCTTCCTTAATCCAACGAGTGGTTTCCTTTTAGAAGACACTATTTGCTTCTCGACGCCGGTCGTCTTCCAGTAACCAGCTTCAGTCACCCTATTTATCCGATTACCGGCTCGGTATATCGCTTCCTTGTTGTAGAAGAAATATCTAGACTGATCTTGATCACCTATACGTGCAAACATGATAATAGTATCAGTAAAGCTATTTTTTTTTTTTCTTTTTGAGAAACCTATCCATCTCTTGTTGAACAGTTTTCAACAGGACAAACTAGTTTTTTGGGACGAATGAAGAAACGCGCAAATTAATTACCTGGCAAATCCCAAGGGTTATGCTTGGAGATATTGAGTTCAGGGATGATGGAAGCTGGCAAAGGGCACGAAAATGTTTTCCTCAATAAGTATTGGAAGACAATCTCTTCATCCGTCGGCTGAAATCGGAAACCAGGAGGAAGCTTGATTACGCCATCTTTGACAAAGTTCAAGCAGCCCATGTGTTGGAAAATGAAAATCCTTAATTTCCTCAAAGTAAAAAAGAACCAACTTAATTAGTTTATTCAGTTGGTTTGAAAAATCTGAGGAGGAAAGAGATCTACTCGTATGCTTCATAAGTACGAATCGATGACTCTTTATATAGTGATGGGAATACGAGAGGAGATGATGGGGGTATGGGATACTTGGAAGCTTCATTTTTAAGAAAGAATTGGATGTTGTTGGATTTTTAAAATAAAAAAATTCTTCTTTTTTTCCTTTTCGAATGGATCAAAAGTTAAGGGGCCTTACGGGTTGTCAACCTGATTAGGGGCCTTAGGGGTTAAGAATAAACTTTATTTGTGTATCAATATGTGTTTTGTGCCTCCTATATTATTTATATATTTCTCCCAATCTATAAGAATTATCCCCTTTTTGCATATCGATCTGGCTAAACTATCTTACGCGATGCAATGGGTGCATTAAATATTTGTTTTATTCTTTTTTTACCGCAATTTTCTTTTTTAGAGTGTTATGTTTTGACTTAGTCAGAGATGGATATTTAATTAGTATCACGCGAGTGGAATTTTATCCTCATTTTCATGTGATTAGTATTAGAGTAATGATATTCACCCTATTCATTTCATCTTAGAGCATCTCCAGTGTAGTAAAATTTGCTACACCTCAAAACATCAAATTTGTTGTTTTGCTACATGCTACAGTGTTGTCTTCTCCAACACATAACATTATTTCTTACATCCAAAAGGAATATTCTTAGTATATTCTTTCTTACTATCATCTTTTATCAAGTTACAAAAGAACCCAATTGGATTAATTATATTATATAATAACCGAAATGTTTCTTTGATATTTTTTTAGTTTTATTTCCATTCAATATGAAATAATATTAATTAAGTAAAAATTAATAATATATTAATTAATTCATAATTAAAAATACTAAGATTTAGATATAATTGCAAATAAATAAATTGCATTATCAAATAAAAACACGAAAAATAAATATTACTAGCGAAACAATAAAACAACAATATCGATGAGATTTTTTATTAAAATTTATGAACATTGACAATAACAATAAGTACATGGTTTATAGATAAATTTAAAAGTAAACAAAAAAAAGGGAGGGGGTTGCGTCCATTTGCTGCTACTATAGTAACACAGTAAATCTAAAGAGTTACTGTAGCATCACAAGCAAATTGCTGCCCCAATTTACTTTTTTGAGCAACGTTGGATGCCCCAAACAGTAAAAGCGTGCAGTAAATAGGTGATTTGCTGCACGTTGGGCATGCTCTTATATGTTAATTATTTATTGAATAATTTATTTTATATAATTGGTAGACCATTTCCTACTTTATATCTAAATAGCTCGATGTGAATGTTATATTTCTTATCGATATGAGTTCAATTGATAAATCATTTGTATTATTATAATTTTTTCTAAAAGGGTTTACTTTTTGGGGGTTAGAGTCTATTTATTTTTAAGTTTTTGAGATAAAATACCCAAAAAGTCTATAAATCTAAAAAAAATAATTAAATCAACTTAATAAATTTGATCCAATAATTAATTAAATGTCATGTAAGGTGAGATACAATAGTAAGATAAATTAGATGAGTTGTGTGTGTATTATTACTCTTAATATAAGGCGACATGATCATACGAAATCAGTCCACAAAAATAAAAGCCGTTTCCGTAAAATTGAGTCATTCTTAGTGTATAATTTTAATGTCAAAATGTTAAACACAATCAAGATTTTGTAAAAGGTCGTTATTTTCATTTTAGTATGCACGCATTCATTGTTTAAAATCACAATTTCGATTAGTTCAAGGAGCTGAATAAATCTCCTTTCCAGTGAGCTCATTCATTAATTAGCAAAATCTTTCGGTGGTAAGTAGGTGACCGATAACTTATGCCTGAAGAAGTTGAACTAAAGTTGAAAAATTATTACTATTACCAAAAAAAAAAAAAAAAGTTGAACAATTATAGTTAATGTAACACCATAACTGCATCACATGTGCCGCCATCGAAACCAAATTTTGAGGTTTTTCACGGACATAAGTCAACGGAAAAAGCAAATCAGCCGCTCCTTTTAATCAGAAAAGCAAATTAAGTCGTCTGAAAGCAATTGTAGCTTTTCACCATCAATTAGACCGAATTAAAGCCGGAATTATATATGGATAGTAGCCGTTTTTTTATATATAATTTAAATTTTGGGGAAGAAGAAATACGTACATAACATAATCATTTTTTCTTTAGGAAATAGATATATATATATATATATATTCTTCTCTTCCGATTACTTAATTTTGTTGTATTGTTTTATAATTAAGTGTTTAGTTTAATATAAAGTAGATTTAGTTATTAAAATATATAGAACGGAAAAATAAATGACAAATAGTAACTTCTACTTCCAACGTGAGATGATAATTAGAGAAATCAAACCTCTCAATAATTACCTAAATCCAGGGTGATTTTGAAGCAACATGAACTAATTATAATTCGCCGAATCTTTGATTGAACGTATGAAAATTGAGGTAGAAAGATTAACAGGGAGCTAAATGTATGATGAAAAAAGAGAGGTTGGGGAAGAAGCAAGCAAAGCATATACTCTCATCAAAAGTTTTTTTTTTTTTTTTTGTAAAAAGAAAAGAATCTGAGCAGTAAAGACGAGCCTCAAAAACAAGTCCACGTGCATCCTACTAAATTGAAATTTCCTTCCACATCTTCTGTATAAAATAAATAAACTTTTTCATTCTAAGCTACTCAATTCGAGAACAGTATATGTGCCAAGTTCATGCTAAGCTAAACAATTTCGTCCCGTTGTGTATTGAAGGAGACAAAAGTTTACAACTTTCTTATCAATACAAAAGTTTAAAATAAAGAGAGATACTTACAATATTATAATTAGTGGGTGGAAAATATCGAATATATCGTGTTCTAGTTACAATTTGATTTCATTTGGTGATGCATAATGTTGGAATCCTGATTCTGTTACGGGTAAAAAAGAATGTCAAATAATTATATGCAAACTTCGTTTCACCTTGAAAATTAATATTCCAACCTTTCAATCACGAAATAAGAAATCCTAGTTTTTGACTATAGTGTCACCTGTATTTTCCTACACGCCATCTGAAACCCTTAAAATAAATCCCAAAACTCAGGCCGCAACCGAAGAATGGCAATACCCGAACAGAAAATATGGATCCCAATAGTATATCCATAGAGTTTACATTTCACATCTGATGATAAGTGGATCATATTCAAATGAGCGGTTAAAGGTCATGGCCTAGTGGACGCAGAACACCTTTAAAATTGGTATATATTGTTGGGATAAAGAATCTCACATCGGTGTCGTGAAGGATCTGTCACTTGTTTATAAGTGCCAAAAGCCACCATACTCATTGCCAATTGGTTTTGAGATGGGTGCGAAAGGTGATTTTAACATAGTATCAAAACCCACGATCTGTGAACCTGTGATAACTATAGACCCGCGTGTCCGGGCTTGGACCCGTGTGCTTTGGACTTGTGTCAATCGCTTCCATGCGCATAGGTGAGCTTGTTGACTGAACCGGCAATATATCCGGAGTTATGGACCCGTGTGGACGGGCTTGTGTACTGACCGGCAGTATATCCAGTGAATTATGTTGTGTTGTCCAACCTCAATGGGCCAAATACTCCATTGGACTTGAGGGAGGGTGTTGGGACAAAGAATCCCACATCGGTATCGTGAACGATCTGTCACCTATTTATAAGTGCCAAAGGCCACCCCACTCATTGCTAATTGGCTTTGAGATGTCATCTGTTTATAAGTGCCAAAGGTCACCCCACTTATTGTCAATTGATTTTGAGATGGGAGCTCAAACTGACTTTGACATACATAAGATGTCATTATTCTGGGAGGGCATGATTTTACGTTAATGTTTTCAGTTTTCAACAACTGCTTGTGTTGAGGAAACATGACAACAAACCCTTCAAAGTTATGAAATATCGTAATTTTGCATGCACGGGAGTCTTTATTTATTAGATTAAATGAATCTTGTGGCAACCATTTATATATCAGAAAACTATCTTATGTGCTACGTTGATCACTTTCTCTATTATTTTCTCATAGGATAATAAATAATTATCTTGAGTTTGCTTTGACGTATCTCTTTAAACTCGATTATGACATACACATGCATAAGGTAAGGGGTCATTGTTTGCCTAAACGTAGTCTACTAATGAAGATATGTAATTCTAACACTAATTAAGCCTTTTGTCTCTTTTTTTTACCCAAAAAAAAAAAGAAAAAACAAAACGTAATGCGAGATTAATAATTACTATTAAAGAAAATCAAGCTATATCTCCATAATAAAGCTGGAGCGCGAGAGAGATGACCGGATCTTCTTCCAACTAATGTTGATTGACGATTGTTGAGTACTGATCAAGAATCGAGATTGCTTCATCGTGATTGTATATATATCATCCCCTTGTATATACGACTCCATCCAAGGATTTAGCAAAGTAATCCCAGATAACTTCTCCTGAAAAAATGCATTACCTCCAAATTTGAAGAACTTAGACCTCCCAAAAACACCAAAAAGAAAACCATATGAATCCCATATATTTGTCTCAATTTTCCATTAGACATTTTTGTTTCAGTTTTTTTCACCATCCATCTTTTCCATCTTCCTAAATGTTCCTTGTCCTCTATTTTTGGTCTCCCATGGTCATGTTCCTAACCCAACAAACCTAAAAATTTATTATGGGTTGTGGAGCTTCAAGGTTAGATGAGAATGGCCTGGTTATCCCTATCAAGGCTCGCCCTCTTCTCTTCCTCCGGCTAGAGGAATTCAGGCGCCGGCGCCATCCTCAATGCTCCTCGGCATCTAAAGACCAATCATCCCATGCTTCCAAACAAGAATTGCTTTTGGAAGATCATCACAAGAGAGATATTCATCATTTGCCTAAAAACAAAGATACTAATGGGAAAGAGTCTAATTCTACATTGTTAATTACGGATGATACGGGGAGTTGTGTCACGTCCGAGGAGGATTCCAAGGATGATTCTAACCATGATGATCCAAAGGCCAATAATCAAGAGGTTAAAAAATCATCATTATTAGGTAATAATAATAAGGGTGTAAAAGGTGAAGAACAGGATCATCATCGTACAAAATCGAACGAGACCACTAATAAAAAAGTTCGAGATTGTGACAACGATGGAGACAATGAAATTGAGGACGACGAGGAAAATGAGGAAGATGAGGAGGAGGATGATTATGATGATGATGATGGAAGAAGGCTGGGGCATCATGATGAGGATGGTTTAGCGTTTCCGGGCTCTCCTAGTTTTAGGGTTTTTTTCATGGACAACAAGAGCGGCGACATTAAAAGTGATCAAGGTTTGGCAATCTACATTTTCAAGTTTTTTTTTTTTTGGGTTAAATTTTCCAGATGGATTTTTAATAATTTTTATTTGATGAATTTTGAGGACCTTATGATATTGAATGCATGAGGTTTTCTCATTTGGTTGTAATTTGATGATCAATGTAGATACGGATGATGAATTTGTTGAAAAGGCTCCAATTGAGAAGGATGATGTAAAACCCTTGAAGGTACAATCAACTATTGAGAAGTCCTCACAATTGTTTATAAGAAAAATTCAAGTTTGTTTTTTAACGAATTAAAACCCTAAAGAAATGTTAACATTTCTCATGTTTCTTCTTGTCCGTTTCCCAGCCTCCCACGAATCCAGAAGTAAAAAAGAAACAAAAGAAGAGGAGGAGTTTCAAGAAGGTTATACCATCAGGAAAACAAGCAAAAAACTTATTCAACGTCCGAGCTTGTATGTCGTCAGCTCATCAATCAAATCCAGACCGCGCCCGTTTGCTCACCGGAAAGGCTCATGCTTGATCTTTGCTCTTTTAGACTTTTTTTTTAAATTTTTTTTTTTGTCTCTTAATTATAGGGGCATTTGATTTCTTCTTATACAAAAATTTATGTTCATAGAATCGTAGCAGATTTTGTGAATGTATAAACTAGTTATAATCTCTGATGTTTTTCATAGCCAGGGAAGCTAAGCCAAAATCACGTTCTATTGTGAATATTTTAATTGTTTTAAGGATGTATTAATTTGGCAAAACTTGTTAATGTTATTGTTATTAACTTTTAACACCACATTCATGTAAACCCGGATTTACAAAAAAAAAAATTCCTTCCGTCTAAAAAAAATAAGAATAATAATAATCTATATAGAGGATCGATCCTACATAAACCAGCAGATTAGACATTTTGCGATTCTCACAAGTGCCTTCAATTGAATTAGTGTCGAAACTGTGAAGGTTCAAATGATGTCATTTTTTTCAATTTTTTCATTCATAATTTTGTGATTGGAGGATGAACAAAGTCAAAATTAAATGGAGCAGTTTGCAGCACGATTGTTTTCAGTTTGGCCACAAGACCAAAGTTCGGCCATCTTAACGTGTTTGAAGGTCAACTAGTGACTTCTCCATATATTGGCTTTCTAATTTAAATTATGTTCCTCAGTCCAATAACTCCATTACAAAAGTATTTTTTTTTGGTTCTACACTGGATTTTGAAAGAAGAGTACTTCAATCCAAATTTAGCGGGACGCGATCCAGATAATTATTGATCGTGAAACCCTTTGAATACATGGGAAAGCGGCTTTTACTAAAGAAGAAGATTTGACTTTGACTATCAAAAGGAAGATGATAAGCAACAATGACTTTCAGTGTTGAGTTGTTTTTTTTTTTTTGTAGGTTTAGAGGGACAGAGTTGTGACTTGTGAGGTGTGTTTCAACTTTCAAGTTCTACGGCTTTGCCTAGAACTTAGATCGTAGACAACTTGTACATAAGGTGGATTTAAAATACTCCCTCCGTCCCATAATTATTGTCCACTTTGCCCAAAAAATTTTGTCCCAAAATTATTGTCCAATTTGACTTTTTATGGATCAAGTTACACATTTGTCCTTAGTAAAAAACATTATCCATAAAATTTTTGTGGCTAAACAATTACTTATGTAGGGGTATATCCGGTTGTTCAAGGTAAAATATAGTTAAGTTTGACTAAAAATAAAATCTTTCATTTTAGTAAAAGTGGACAATAATTATGGGACGGAGGGAGTACCTTTTTCTGTTTTAAAAGAAAATAGTCCGCATAAATATAAACTTCAGAAATTTAATGTGATGTATGTTTTTTGGGACCGAAGAAATATATGATCATAATGATATGTTGTAATGGTATTCGACAGAAGATCGCTGTGATTCTGGCTATTAAGGAACTCTTGGGAAAGAAATTGAACTGGAAATTTGAAAGTTATATCTGTAAACATGTTTATCACGAGCCAAATTTTGCAGGAAATCACCAAACATCACTTGCATTTATCAGTGACTAGTTAACAACTTTAAACGGGATTGTTCAAAGGCAGGAAATTATTTTTGCACCAAGATTACCTTTATGGCTTATACATTGTCCAACAATCTTCTCCAGTGTCAGTCTTCTGATAGGGAGAATGGAGATTCTCTACCTCAGCTTTTGAGCACTAGTCGCGTTTCACTAATATGAGACTATCTATCACTTTATCCACCTGGAGAATATTGTTCACTCTTTAACCAAGAATGCATCATCTTGTGCAAACATCAAATTCAAATGTTACAAAAGGAAGAAAAAAGAAAATGCCTGACATGGATGCAAATAGGAAATCTTTCACGAATATAATACTCGTCCATAGTATCGAAGATTAACAATGGAACACAAATATAAAGTAGAGAACACTTTGTACAGATTGGTTTTTTGAAACCAGAGATAAAACACCATCAAAGTAGAAGCAGGGCGAGTATTTGGTAAAAGATCTCATGTCAAACAGTGCCCTTCACGGCGGCGGTCGCATTGAATTCCTCATCATCTCCATCAACTTCTTTGCTACCGTCATCCAGGAAGTCCTTACGGGCATTGTCTGCCAGCATCAAGGCGACCAACCAGAAGAGCATAGAATCCAGTGACACAAATGCTCCTCCTCCAAGAAGACCTGTCTTGGCAGTGGGACAGTCAGTTTCCAGATTGTGGTGGACGTTCTTGGTAAGGTGCATGTGTTCTGTCACCGTTGGCCATATAAGCAATGCTGCAGCTAACCCGGTGCATCCCCTACATTCACCAGTTCCATTTTAGAGTTAGGAAGAAAAAGTATAAATTGAGGTGCGGGAGAAGTTAAGAGAGGAACTTAGTCACAACTGATTCAGATTATAAGAGAGTATTAATCACAAATCAAGTTGAAGAATTAGAGAAATTAATTTTAATTTCAGTAATATATGCCCATTCCAGTTTGTGGATTTGACATCCGAAACATCAACGCAATGCTTAAAAGATCTATCATCCACCCTAACTATGAGCCATGACATAACCCTTTAACTCTTGTCAGATGCACAAGTATTCACTTAGTGATACCATTACAATAAATCTAGGTACTAAAATCAGAACAAAAACAAGTTCAAAACCATTTTAAAGGTGCCTTTGAAGCAAAGCCTCAAATAATGGCCAACCAGGGTGTAAAAGCTTTGATTCAGAAACAAGTTCAAAAGACAAGAAGGAGATCTATATACTTACAGAGCAATGTTGAAAAACACAGAGAATGAAGTGCTCTGGAATAAAGCTGCCCGAGGAACAGATTTCCCTTTGTAATCCTTAAATAAGGAGACATATCCAACTGCACTCGAGGCAAAGAGAAAAATGACTGACAATATACCGAGGACCACGGTTGGATCCCTCGGATATTTACAGATGACAACATCTTTCCCTGTTACTGGAGTACCACCTGGGGGCTGCAGAACCAAAATGCTATAATTAGCAAAGATGCAAAAGAAGTGGATGAAGAAGCAAGAAAAAATTATGATAAGAAAGGAGCCATGATAAAACAAAAGATTAGATGTCCCAAAAGAAAAACTTTCATTGAACAGTTGACATGAGAAAAGAAAAGATCCATATCAATGGGGAAACTTGCATACATACACATATTGCAACATCAGTTCAAATCTTAAGAACTGTTCCCACATATCATAAACCATAACTAGATCAACCTATTATCACAATGGTCGAAAACCATAACCATACATGATAAACAGATGACGGCAAAGAAGAAAGTAAGTAAATGGTAGTCTATGTTCCCAAAGGGGATGAAGGAAAGCTGCAATCATCAAGTAGCATAAGGTCTGAGTAATTAAATAACAAGTTTTTAGCAAAAATACATATTATGAGTTCCGTTTACTACATATGTTTGATTTAAAATTTCAATCTCCAATCCTTCAACGAACCCCATATCGAATAAAGCTTTTAGAGTAAGGTTTTATCTAAGCTTTACATCCTGTCCAGAAAACATATGTTTGGCTGAGTGCAAAACCCAAATTGAATTCCAATAATTATTGCCCTACCTGATATTTCTGGTTAGAAACCACTTTTGATTAGTAATCTCGACCTCTGATCTGTTTACTTTTGCTCTCTATTCTAATAAATCTACCTCACTCCACAGCAATGTTAAATTTCCTCATTTACCTATGTCTTCCAATCTCCTTAAATTATAATTTCTATACTTAATTCAAAATTTCAAACATCGAAAATTCTGTTTCAAAATCTGGTGCATAGCAATGAAAGATAGGAAATATGAACTCGGGAGAATTTCCGCTCTTTCAACATAATCAGCTAGACAAGATGGATTTCAAAATAGTGGCACAACCATTATTGATTTCAACAATTACCAATTTAAAGAGAAGAAAATAATGGAGGAGACAGAATAAACAATTAAGATAAGGCAAAAAAAGAAGGAAAAAGGGAAACTTTAGACAAGAATACGACCCCCATCAATGTCAATTCCTCATGAAGGCTGTTATTCCATCTAAGACATACCCAAAAGAGCACAGGGACAAAAGAAACTTTAAACCATCATCAAAAGCTTTTTTTTTTTCGCATATTTGATCTTCAAAATAGCCGAAAAAGAATTTGATAATCAGAAATGAATTAGAATTGCCATAACCTTCTTGTTTTCCGCAACGACTCCTAATACGAAAGAGATCACACCCAGAGTAGCTGTGAGCAAAGACATGGTTTTCATGGATCCTGCCATTCTGAAACTTTCCGAAACCACTCTTTCTGCAAAAATTTTGCAAAGGGTTGAATCAATATCACCCCAGAAAATCACAAAATTTCACAAACAACTTGCAACTCATCCAATTACCTTTCACCCCTAATGTAAATTACAATCCCTCCCCTCTAATATAAATCCAAAATTGCGACGAACCCAATGTTGGAACTGTTAAATAAAATCTCGACTCCGACTTTTACAAGGAAAAAAAAAACACAGAACAAAACAATTGGGCTTTTGTTCAAATTAGGATGCAAAACTACAAACACTAGAGATATCCAAAAAAAAAAAAAAAAACCCAGAAAGCAGAAATCATAAAATGACAAAGGAGAGATGGTGATACCTTTTTGGTGGGGGAGGAGAGAATTATTCAACGATGCGAGCCAAGTTGAAGTAATTCACACACTCACACACTAAAAAAAAAAAACCAGTCTTTGCTTTGGGTGCGGAGATTGAAGAAGGAGAGTTGTAGAAGTATGGGGGAAAAGGTTGACCAAATCCTTCCTCCAGAAAGATTAGAATTCCGAGTAGTTTTAGAATCCTGGCGAGATACTCTCTCCCGAATTTATTGTTTCTTATTTATAATTGTTTTTTGTTTTTGTTTTTTTTTTTTTGTTTTCTGGTTTGAACGATGACTGATAAATTGTTTGTTGGTTGGTTTTTGGTCAATATTACTGGCTGGATACAGAATGGAATCTTTGATTCTAAACCAAATTTACTAAATATTACTGTACAGCTCAGCATCCTGGAATTTTTGTTAGGATGGTATTATCTGGTGGTATTTATTATGACATTAAAAAATGCTCCTCCGTTCCAAAAAAAGTGTCGTTTTAGCAAAACGGAGAAATTCCAAAATAAGCATCGTTTTCGAATTCCAATGCATTTTTTATCAAAAATTTCCAAACATACCTTCAAAAGTAATAATATTATTGGTAAACATTATTTTAATGGGATTGATTGATGATATTTTAGTAATTTAACTATCTTATTTAAGTATTTCTTAAATTATGTGTAAACTTTAGAATGACACTTATTTTAGAATGAAGGGAGTAGTAATTTGTTATTGTATTATTATTATTGTTGGCATAAAAGAGAAGGTTACTCCCCGAAATAACGTACCATTCATAGAATGTTGCATGTAGCCCTGACCACGGTTCTAGAACCATCGGTTAAGGTTCTAAAACCGTCGATTCATGGTTTCAAAATAGATGGAACCATAACCGAACCATGTAAGAGGCGGATTCAAACGGTTACGGTTTGAGACGGTTCTAATTCCGATTACGACTTTGGTTATGGTTAGTGTCATTTTATTCGATTCTAATTATGATTTTGATATTTGTTGTATTTTATTAGTTTTATTTCTTCTTTGAAAGTTTTTTTTTGTCATCGATGACAATTATTTTAACTTAACAAAGACTGAGGAATGATTAATTTAATTTTTTTTATTAATCTTGCTAAGTTTAGGAGAAGTCACGCAATAAAAAAATTAATTAGAAATAATTTTTAGTTGTTTAATAAATAAATATAGTTATTTTTTTACGGTTTTAACCGGAACCGAATCGCCGATTACGGTTCTGATTCATACAAATGAAGAACAAGAACCGATCCAAAGGATTATTGTTAGGGTTACGGATTTTGAACCATAAATTACGGTTATGGTTTAAAACCAAAATCGGTTCCGATTTGGTTTCGGTTAGAACCAGAACCTTGGTTAGGTCTAGTTGCATGTAGTCTAGAAATTAAAAAAAAAATTATTAAAGCGATTAAAAAAACGGTCTGCCTCAAAATTTAAATTTGAGTTGAAAATTATAAGAAATGGTTTTGGCTCGTTATTATTATTTTCATTAATAGGTTATCAAAACTAATCGAATAGTTAAGTAACAAGACGATTATGAGAGTCGGTATAGACTATAGCGAATGAATATCAATTGAAGATTTCACCCACATCATTTCAAACACTTGGCTAGAGTATCTTTGTATTTAAAAAATGTTTGTTATTTTTCACACCTCCATATTGTTTGCTATTTAGGGATAAGCAAATAGGAGTATAGGAATATGTTTGTTTGGTCATATTGGGCGGACGCTAACAATAGTGCCTTTGTGAGATTTTTAGATTGGACTGATTGGTAATAAAAAAAAAAGTGATAAGGTCTAAGTTCATGCCACTAGAAAATAAGAAACATACGATATCATTTCTCTAAAACGAAACTAGAAATTTTACAAAGTTAGTATAAATTGCATCAAATCTATCATTTGTCCAATTCATTTGGACATTTGGCTGGGGAAGATTATACAATTTAGGGCCGGGTTCTGTAGATTCGGTATGACGATCTTTCGCCCATTTCCTACAACTGTGGGTTATATGGATACGTACGGGGCAGCGGCGACTGGTGGTTGCAAAGGCTCCAGTGGTGGTAGTCCGTCACCGTGCAGCCCTATAACGGTCAACGGGTCAATCGAACTAGGTTCCAAGACTAGACTTAGATTTCGTGCTTGGGCCGTAATTTTTGTGGGTTGGGTTTTAGTATGACTTTGGGGTCATATGTTTGTGGATTGAGCTGCATTTTGACTTTGGGGTCATAGACCTCCCACCTTGCGATTTTCCATTTTGACTCACTTGGCGTTCACTTAATAGTTACGCCATAGTTTTAATGATATGATGACGTGATGTCAATAATTAATTGATTAAATAAATTATTAAGAAGAATAATCACAGGAGAGAAAAAAATGATATTCCTAATATAGATTACCAAAACGATATTGCCTTTGGAATGTTAATTTTTAACAACTTCTGATTGTTACAAAAAAGAGGTCAAAGTTTAAATATAATCACAAACGAAAGGTTGTCTACCTATAGTAAATAGTCTGAATTTGGTTGGTACTTTCCATTAATCCAGTCAATATGCTATGAAATGATTCTCTCAGAATATATATATATATATATATATATATATATATATATATGTGGGTGTGTGTGTGCGTGTGTGTGTGTGTGCGCGCGTGTGTGTGTGTGTGCGCGTGTGTGTGTGTGAATTCGTCAGATTACTCTTCAGTGAGCAAATCCCAGTACTATCATTGACATCGAATTCCTTGTATTGAGTAACGTTTGTTCCCACACTCTGTATCACTAAACAGCTCTAGTGTGAGATTAAGGGGACAAGATTTCAAAGAACTAAAAATTGGCAGGACTTGATTGATCATTCATCATTGATGCCTTGGGAAATGGGGATGGTTATTTGCAGTTTACTCTGTCAACTGTCATCTTTAATTTATTTTACACTTTATATAAGATGTCACCTGAGACACTTTATTAGGTGTAACTCGAATTTCATTTGGTGATATCTTTCTATATGTAAGGAATTTTACTTTATTAGCTTTTAGTCTAATACGATGTTTTTGTATCTTCCTGCCAGGTAATATAGCATGGTTGGATTTCTACCAAAGATTGTAAGGAAGAGTTTTACTCACATTTAAGTGAAGTCTACTGAAATGAATTTTTAAAAAAAAATGTTTTGTATCTTTTTTAAGTTAGATTTTCTTGATGTGAAGATATTTCTAAAAGCTAATTCTAACTCAAAATGTCATTGGTTGTTCGCTATCACAGTGTTGTCAATTCAGTGGATTTGAACTTGCTTTACCTGGTACGTCGGAGTTGCTCCTTCCCTTAAATGATCAACAACGTTTGTATTTTGATCGTGATGTAATAATATTACTCCCTTCGTCCTGTAATTATTGTCCAGTTTAGTTAAGATTAAAATTTTATTTTTGGTCAAATTCAGTTAATTTTTAGCCCAAACAACCGAATTTACCCTTGAAGTAGTTGACGTTTCACCGGCAAAAGTTTGTGGATTAAACAGAGCCTCCTCCTCCTTCAATTGAAACTCAAAGAACAGCAATTGAAACCAAACCCACAAGGTCAGAAAAAATTTAAAAAAAAGGGGTCAAAACGGTTCGATTCAGGGTTGATCCGGAAAAAACTCGAAACCGAAGCGAACCGAAACTATCTAGGTCATTTGGGGCGTGACCCGTTCCGAACCGAATAAAATGGTACCGTTCGGTTTTGGTTCGGGTCGGGTCGGTTTTCCTCTAAAGCAAAGTCCTAATCCAAGTAGTGTCGGATGATGATAAATCATCAATTAGAGTAATTGGGTTCAAGGGGTCGGGAGCTTACCAGTGAGTTTTAATGCACCGTTCAGAGCTCCAGGTCAAGTAAAATAATTTTTTGAGTAAAGGGCAAAGGTGTAACTTATTCCATAAAAAGTCAAATCAGATAATAATTTTGGAACACAATTGTTTTGGCAAAGTAGACAATAATTATGAGACGGAAGGAGTATAAACCTCGTATTGTTTTGCCATGGATGGATAATGGAAAACTATTTCTTTTTTTCCCATAGCATGAAGATATGTTGTGTACAATAACAAATATTGCGTACTGATTGTGAAACTTACGTTGGATAATCCAATTACTCTTATCCCCACTGAAGTTCAGGAAATTATTTTCTCGCTTCGGTCTACTAGGTTAGCCTTTGAGTCATGTTTACTGATCAAAGTAAGCAGATTAGAGGTCGGTTTGAACTAATATACAAGTACCATTTAAAAAAAAAAAAACAAATGTTGCGTACGATAACAATTGGAAGTGAAAGAAAAAAGGAAAAAACAATGTGCAACGATCACTTTCAGTCTTTCAATAATTTAAAGTTAATAGGCGCATAAGAGGATGGCGTAAAAAAATGAACTGATCTTGGGGTCCTTTTTCTAATATCAATTGGGGCGTACACCTTTTATGATTTCACTAATACCATTTATCAATGTTTAATTATTACATCAGTAATTAAATTATTTGTTAAATCATTTCACTATCGATTGATCATCCCTAAACTTATCAGATTGAGTGGTTCCTTTAATATAGCTTTTGGCATATTGAAAGGATCAGTTAACTATCCCTATTTGTCACGTTTTTTCCGACATAGAATCTTTGGTTCTTTGCTTCAAAAAGAAAATACAAACCGCCCATAAATTTGGGACCATTTTTTTGGAGTGATTTGTCAGGTACAGAAAGCTGCCAATCGGCCCCGGCCGAAGGGAAAACCATATTCTGTACACTATAGTACTATTCTACTTCTTTTGGAATATACTGGTTGATACAGCCCACTCGTTTGCTCAAAGATGGAATAGAAGCACCCCCAGCAAAAGAGATTAAAAATAGCATAAATGGTCAAATAAAAAGATGAACAAATTTCAACTTAAAATGTAAAGTTTTGTTAATCTCAACATATGTATATGGTACATTGGTTATTACTATCTATTTTGTTAATGTCATTCTAGAAGATCAAAGTACCATAACATAGAAACCATATACAGTTATACAACTGACAGTTTGTCTTATTTTTGAGTTCTACTGCATCCAATTAACCCTAAACCCTAAACCAAAACTCCCACTTAAATCAAACTGCCCTAGAAATCAAGGTGTGAAAACCATTTAGACCATTGCGCTGAAGTAATCAGTGAAAGCTATTAAGCTAAATCAAGAAAATAACTGTAACAGGTTCAGATTGAAGGTCAATCATTGCTAGTTGCAATTCTGCAACAATTTCCTCCATCTCTCACCATATGACTGATATTACTCCCTCCACCTCAAAATTAGTTTTGAGTTCAACAGAATATACTATTTTTGTGGAAATGAAGAAGTATACTGTAAATGTTTAGCTTACCAACTTTATTTACTAATGAGGTCGACAG